AGGCAAACCAGCTGATTCATTATTCTGACAGTGTTCAGGGACTGAAAACACCCAGAAGCTCTACATACTGCAGATATGACCTTTCTGTTAGAGCTGCTGGCAACATAAGCAGGGATTACACCTCATGTTGTAGGTTCACTACACAGTTATCTGCGGTCTTCCACATGTGCTGCCTTATTTTAATGTTTTACTGAAAGTGGTGGAAAGTAACTAATTACATTTACTCAAGTATTGTACTTAAACACAACTTTGAGCTATACTTGTGCTTAAGTATTTCCATTTCAAGCCACATTATACGGTGGTGGATGAAGTACTCAGATACTTCAGGCTACTTAAGTGAAAGTATGAATACAACAATGTAAAAATATTCTATTACTGTATTTAAAATGCCAGTTAAATTACAGCCCGTCCTCACCAGAAAAACGTCTGTATAGGTCGATTGTGCAGCAACTTATTACAACCCATACTTAGGTTTATTGAAAGGCCGCGACCTCCTGTATGACGCAGCAAATCAAGAAGTCAGGTTAAAAACGTGACTTTAACCTACTAGAGGGTTGAGTCCCGTGTTGAAACAAAGTCAATGTTGAGTTATTTAAAGTAAGTGACTTACAGCAAGAGTTAAGCCACGTCACGTGATACCCAAACCACGAACTTTTACTAAACCTAACCAGGTAGGTTTGTTGCCTAAACTCAACCAAACATTTCCCAGCGTTAACCACGTGTTTAACGTCACGTGACTGACGTAACATTGGCTTATTTGCATAACATACTGTGGCTGGACTGTATACGTCGTTTTGAGAGTCATTGACAATCAACCTATTTTGATGTTTAGGTATGAGGACGTGTTGTTAAGTTACAGTACATAAATATTAAAGTATCAAAAGTATTTCTTCTGCAGTAAAACGTCCATTGTGACTTATATTTTATTAGTGTTAATAAGGATACATCAATATTACAGTAGCATTTTAAGATTTTACTGTTGTAAGTGCTCAGGTCAAGTTAGTTTTAACTACTTTATATACAGTTACCAACTTTTAACTACTTTTCTAATCTTCCTCTGGTCCCAGCTTCACCTGTGTGAGATGTTACTGCTTTTCTCTGTTTTATATGATAGTTAACTAAATATCTTTGTTTTTGGTCTGTTGTTCAAACATCAACAACAACATACTTTGATACTTTTGTGTTTTCTGTAATTTTATTGCCTCAATAATTAACCATTTAATTATTATGGAGTATATTTACCGTGTGCTATTGCTGTTCACTGGAACTTTAAGAGTTCGATGAGAGTCCAAAATATATCAAATCCTGCATGACTGTCGGAAACTGTTCTTAAATTTCATGTTGCATGAGTGCACACTTTGGCTCTCAGCCTTGTCCGCAGACCCCTCCCCCCCTCACATACTAGCAGCACACCTGTGGTTCTCCATTTAAAGAAGAGCGGTTGGGAGAACCTGAAATCCTCTTTGAAGTGATCTGCCTGTTGTAAAGGCATAAATATGCATGAGAGGAAATATAAAAGAGGAAAGATGAAAGTTTCAGTTTGGTCCTCAGAGGGATTTAAGCAAATTACAGAAACTGAGAACAACTACAATCTGTATCAGTACAATATATACATCCAGTCTTCAGAAGTAGTATAAGTAAATGTAGGTACTACTTAGGGAGACTACTACTACAACTTTTCTCCACCACATTTCTGGGGAAATATTGTACATTTTACTCACTAACTATGATACAATATTGTAGATAAACTCTTTTATTTTAAGTATCAGTCTTGTATCCAGTGGTGCAGTTGTACTTTTACAAAACTCTTGTACAATTCGGAGGTACTTTTGCCTTTACTGGACTGGAGTATTTACATTTTTGTGTTACTTAATTCTTTTTCCCCATCACATTTCTGAGGGAATTACATTTTAATTATTATGTAATTATTGTAGATACAGTCAACTCAAAATATTAGTCTTGTCAGGTAAAACATTTGAACGATTACTGTACTTCCATTTTCTACAACTTTATACTTTGCATTTCAAGTATTGCTTTACTTTTTACCGCATTACACTGATTCAACAGCTACAGTTAACAGAGAAAGTTGCAGATTAAGGTTGAACATAAATATATTATAATAAATATAGTGCATTGTTTTGTTATAGGTTGATCTACCCATCAAGATATAAAGTAATGTAAACTAGAAACCTGTGATTTCTGTAGAGTAAGAGCTGAAAGTTGCTGCAATTTTAGTTAAAAGTTTCACCATTGCAGAGTAAGAGTTAGTTAGAGATAGTAACTAAATGTATTTTTCCATTGTGGCATCACTACGTTTACTTAAGGAAATGAGCGAATATTTCATTGCTGCTAGTAAATCAAACTGTCTGAGAGTCGGAGGCATCCTGACTGGCTCTCCTCCAAGTCAGGCTTCCCCGTACACCTTCGTCTCCAGACGGGATTTCCTGTCTGAGGGAGGGACCGGATCTCAGAAACCCCCCCAGCTCCCAGCACTGGTACTGGGATGTGTACTGGGACATGAACTGGGAATAGGGCTGAGGAAGCCAGGGACAGCAGAGAGCACACTCACCCTCATCATGGTCACCATTGCTTTGTTTCCTGTCTTCATTGTTTAACGGGACCAGGAAGGATGAGCCACTGCAAAATCGTCAGGCTATTCTTCTCCTATTTTGTCATTCTGTTGCTATAATGTGGTATCTGTTGGAGTTGAGCATGAGTAATCACTGAACTACACTGTAAAACATGTCTCTTCACATCCTAAAGTTCTTTGTGGTCTAGTCATAGGTCAGATCAGGTTTAGTAACAGAATACACATCTGATCTTCTAATAAACAGACCTTTCATACCTCAGTGATTCCCGCCCATGAGTACTTCAGCAGTTGCTTGGGGGTATAAAGATTGTGGAGTAGCTAAACAATAAAAACAAAACAAAAATAAATAAAAAATCCACATGTTGAGTCAGCTGTATACACCATGTGTTGACAGAGTGTGAAAACTAGTTAGCAAGAGACCAGAGAAGTTGTTACAGATAAAGTGCCAGATGAATAGTTGAAATAGATAAAATGAAACACAGTTTTAACAGCTATATAAAAGTAATGGTAAAACATCTGAAATAGTAAGCTAAAAGTAATGGACAATATTTGTAATATTTAAAAGTAATGGACAATATTTGTAATATTTAAAAGTAATGGACAATATTTGCAATATTTAAAAATAATGGACAATATTTGTAATATTTAAAAGTAATAGACAACATTTGAAATAGTTAGCTATAAGTAATGGACAACATTTGAAATATTTAAAAATAATGGACAATATTTGAAATAGTTAGCTAAAAGTAATGGACAACATTTTAAATATTTAAAAATAATAGACAACATTTGAAATACTTAAAAGTAATGGACAACATTTGAAATATTTAAAAATAATAGACAACATTTGAAATACTTAAAAGTAATGGACAACATTTGAAATAGTTAGCTAAAAGTAATGGACAACATTTGAAATATTTAAAAATAATGGACAACATTTGAAATACTTAAAAATAATGGACAACATTTGAAATAGTTAGCTAAAAATAATGGACAACATTTGAAATATTTAAAAATAATGGACAACATTTGAAATACTTAAAAATAATGGACAACATTTGAAATATTTAAAAATAATGGACAACATTTGAAATACTTAAAAGTAATGGACAACATTTGAAATATTTAAAAATAATGGACAACATTTGAAATACTTAAAAGTAATGGACAACATTTGAAATAGTTAGCTAAAAGTAATGGACAACATTTGAAATATTTAAAAATAATAGACAACATTTGAAATACTTAAAAATAATGGACAACATTTGAAATAGTTAGCTAAAAATAATGGACAACATTTGAAATAGTTAGCTAAAAATAATGGACAACATTTGAAATACTTAAAAATAATGGACAACATTTGAAATAGTTAGCTAAAAATAATGGACAACATTTGAAATACTTAAAAGTAATGGACAACATTTGAAATATTTAAAAATAATGGACAACATTTGAAATAGTTAGCTAAAAATAATGGACAACATTTGAAATATTTAAAAATAATGGACAACATTTGAAATACTTAAAAATAATGGACAACATTTGAAATAGTTAGCTAAAAATAATGGACAACATTTGAAATATTTAAAAATAATGGACAACATTTGAAATAGTTAGCTAAAAATAATGGACAACATTTGAAATACTTAAAAGTAATGGACAACATTTGAAATATTTAAAAATAATGGACAACATTTGAAATACTTAAAAGTAATGGACAACATTTGAAATATTTAAAAATAATGGACAACATTTGAAATAGTTAGCTAAAAATAATGGACAACATTTGAAATATTTAAAAATAATGGACAACATTTGAAATACTTAAAAATAATGGACAACATTTGAAATAGTTAGCTAAAAATAATGGACAACATTTGAAATATTTAAAAATAATGGACAACATTTGAAATAGTTAGCTAAAAATAATGGACAACATTTGAAATACTTAAAAGTAATGGACAACATTTGAAATATTTAAAAATAATGGACAACATTTGAAATACTTAAAAGTAATGGACAACATTTGAAATATTTAAAAATAATGGACAACATTTGAAATACTTAAAAGTAATGGACAACATTTGAAATACTTAAAAGTAATGGACAACATTTGAAATACTTAAAAGTAATAGACAACATTTGAAATACTTAAAAGTAATAGACAACATTTGAAATACTTAAAAGTAATGGACAACATTTGAAATACTTAAAAGTAATAGACAACATTTGAAATACTTAAAAGTAATGGACAACATTTGAAATACTTAAAAGTAATGGACAACATTTGAAATATTTAACTAAAAATAATGGACAACATTTAAAATACTTAAAAGTAATGAACAACATTTTAAATGGTTATCTAAAAATAATGGACAACAGTTGAAAAAGTAAAATTAAATTTAAACTAGTTAGCTAAAATGAACGGATTAACAATTGAAATAGTTAGCTAAAAGGAACTTGAAATATTTAGATTAAAGTAATGTGTAACATTTAAACTAGTTAGCAAAAATGAACGGATAAACAGTTGAATTATTTAGGTAAAAGTAAAGGAAAAACATCTGAAATAGCTAAAAATAACATGTATGCAGTTATATTTGCTATATAGGTAATTGTTGCAATAGCTAGCTAAAGTTAATAGACATTTGAAACTGTTAGCTAAATGTGTAAACAGTTGAAATAGTGAGGTAAAAGTGATGGACAGATGGTTGAAATAGATATATGAAAGTATTGGATAAAGAATAGTTAGCTAAATGTTAGATGCAGTTGAAATAGATAGCAAAGATGTATGGATAAACAGTTGAAGCTAAATAGTATTGGTGATAGGGTTTTTCTGACAGCTTGGCAGCCCTAGGTTTAGTCATGGTTTAGTCATGTTCAGTTAGAAATAGTCTGGCCTGGTTTATTTTCTTTGTTAAATGTCAAGCAACCTCACATTCAACTAGTGGTTTAAAGGTTTGTTTGAAGGTCAATAGAAAAATACATCTACCTCTATTATGAACACCAACATTTCATCTTCTCTTCCACAGGGATCACAGTGACTTAACTCCAACCTCATATCTTCTGTAAACACAGAGCTGAGAGCTGCTTCCTTCCTCGTCCTGGATAAGACGTTTCACATGTAGGAGGCCAACATGAAGAAAAAAAAGCAGCAGCCCAGAAAACTCACCAAAGAAAAGTATAAAAATGTGTGTAAAGTACGAACCAACAGTCAAACCAAATGACCATAAAAGGCTTCAGTGTATTATGACTCTTTTAGGAAGTAGTGTGTTAAATGTTTATAGTTAGTGACAGAAGGCCTGTAGTTGACCCTTAACACTTAATGGTTTGACATTTTAAGAAATACGCTTATTCACTTTCTTGCTGAGAGTTATGTAAGAAGGTCAAAACCACTGAACGGTAAATATGAAGCTACCAATAGCTACAGGTTAGCTTAGCTTAGCAGTTTGCCAGGAACTTGCTGTGACCCTAAATCTAGTTTAATTACTAACACGCTACTTGATATTATCAGAAGGCCTTATTATAAATTTACAAGATGTCAATCTTGTCCAAAGTGTTAAATTAACACTTTTGTAAAAAAAAAAAAGTATCACTGCATAAAAACACCTGTGCCGATACAAGCAAGTGCCTTTATCACGTTATTTAAGGTTTCCATGGACAAAGCCTCCCAGGCCTTCAGGTCCAACAGGCTGGAGTTTGAGAGCTTCCTGCATGAGATGATTCGGTGGTTTTCAGACCGTCAACAGGAGGTGGACGAGCTGTTCAGCCACAGTGACACAGACAGAAGTGGATCAGTCAACCTGAAGGATTTTGAGCTGGGTAATCCATCTTCTCTGCATCGTCATCTCCAGAGTCTGAACAAGCTGTGGGGAATGTGTTCCCCTGCCCTTCTTGTTCGTCTTTGGGAAACAATTATAGTATTTTCTGTGATTCCGCTTTTATTAGGCTAAAATCTGTGGAGGGCTTAAAAACTCTCACTTAAACTCTTTTTCCACGACAGTCTTCAGTGTCTGTTCCAGCTCCTGTGAATGTCAGATAAAGATAATCTTGAAGGAAAAAGAGATTAGAAAGAGATATGGGTCAGTATTAACCAAATGCCACAGTGTGGTTGTACTGAAGTATTTATGGAGGGTACTGTGAGTCAGACTTTTGATAATGCGAGCAGTGGCTCATTTCCTCTTATCCCCTCTCGCTGATAAGAGCAGCTGGCTCACGGAAACAAAACCAGGACAATGTTCCTTTTGTCTGTCAAACTTCAGACGCTCTGAGTAAACTAGACTTTTGTGCTGAAGACAGTTTTAGGAGCACCAAGAACTGCGAGCATGTAACTGAGATGCAGGCTGTGATTCATTTTGGAATCACCTCTTTTCAGTAGGCAAACAAACACAGACAGCAGGCAGTAAATTCCTGACTTTCTATTTGCCAGGTTTACCAAACTACACTGGGATACTCACACATAACTATTCAAGAAAAAATATAATTCTTATTCCCATTTAAATCAACATTTCTACTGTGCTGACTGCCCTTGGGGATGAAAACCACATTATAAGTAATATAATTAGACCGATAAAGCAGATGTTGAACCCCTGAATGCATGCTGGTGAAGGAGTAGCTGACTTGAAATTGGTCCAGTGTTAAATTGTGTGAAACAGGGCGGTAACGCCATCCTTACAGGCAATTGCCGTAAAAGTACGTCCACTAAGGTTCTTGATTTTGACTCTGACAGGCTCAGATTGTTATTATAAGTGACAGAATTACGGAAAGGATCCCTACAGCGAGAAACCTTGTTTTAAAGAGTAAGATCATTTTCGTTTAACCAGAAAAAGTCACTATAGCTCTCTCATCAAAGCCACCAGACTCCATTGATAAAAACGTTTATTTTACCTCGCAGAATATGGGAGTTGCTGGTCTATTGCTGCCATGGTTGTTTTTGTTTGTTTGTGTTATTGTGTGATTTTGTTGTTTGTTTTTGTTTGAGTTGTGTGATTTTTGGCGTTTTAAACGGTTAAAAACACCAAAATCACATAAATTAAAAAAGACAAATTAACCCATCAAGTCAGTGGTAGACAGAGAGGTAAAATTGCTATTTTTGTGTAGGGAGTCTGGTGGAGTTGTCTGGTGGGGTGGTGATGGCGCAATCGATAAGACACATCCCTTTGGTGTGAGAGACCCGGGTTCAAAGACACTTAATCTCTAACTGCTCCAGAGGCGTGCGTCCTCTGGCATGTATAGCAATCGTAAGTCGCTTTGGATAAATGTGTCAGCTAAATGAACAAATGTAATGTTGGACAAGAGAAATATAGTGTCAGTTCCTGGTTGAACAAAATGGATCTTACTGTTTAAAAAAATGTCTATTTCTATAGAGATCCTTTCCATAATGCTGTCAGACACATATTAATAATCAGAGCTTGTCAGTATCTGCTTTGAAGGCGTGCAAGGATAATGTTGTAGCCCTGTCGCAGCCTGCTAGTTCAATACTGGGCCAATTTAAGTTGAAAAAACAAAACAAATTAACCTTTTACTGTTGGAGGAATGTTTTGCTTATACGCTAATAAAATACATTTTCTGACAAAAATATGAAATAATAGTATGGTTATTACTATTTTTCTACATTTTCTGCTATCAAGAAAATGAGTCCTGAGTCCAACATTTGATGAACAGTCTACAACGACTGATATTGAGAAAAATACATTATCATTGATCCTTGTGTCTCCGGCTGCAGGTCTGATTAACTTGGACGTCCCTTGTCAGCAGTTTCAGCTCCACATGCTGAGTCAGCTGCTGAAGACCAACGACAACATGATCAGTTATCAAGACTTGAGCAGCCAAGTGCAGAGACGGAGGTAGAATCAACAGTATCCCTTTGTCTGAGCATTTTGTTTTTGTTTTTATTCATATTCTGTCTTTCTGTCATCACAGACTGAGTGACAGCACACAGATCGACCCTCAGATATCAGAGGACGTCTCTGGTTTGGAAAGAAGTGCTCGCCGTCAGCTGTTAAACCCTGACAAGGACAAGTACGTCATGTACATGTGAAGTTCTGGCTTCCTCAGCCCTATTCCACTTCAAAAACTGCCTCTAACTAAGATCATTTACTTAAGTACTAGACTTAAATACATTTTTGAGGTACTTTTTACTTATACTTTACTACATTTCATATGGACATATTGTACTTTTAAACTTGACTACATTAATCCAGTGGTGGAAGAAGTTCTCACATTTTTTTCTTAAGCAAAAGTACATACTGGAGTGTAAAATTACCCTCTTACAAGGAAGATTTCTGCATTTAAAATCTTACTTAAGTAAAAATACAAAAGTATCAGTATAAACATGTAAAAGTACCTCAAAAAGTGCGCTCATATGACTCCAATTCTTGCCTCATTGCACTGGCTTCCTGTTCGTTTTAGGATTGAGTTTAAGATTGTATTGTTTGTTTTTAAAGCTGTGAATGGACTGGCCCCAACATATATCTCGGACCTCATCCAAATTTATACGCCAGCGCGGTCACTGAGGTCAGAGGGCCAGCTCCAGCTTGTGGTCTCCAAGACAAGACTTAAAACTCGGGGGAACAGGGCCTTTTCTGTGCTTGGACCTAAACTCTGGAACGCTCTGCCCCTCCATGTACGAACAGCCCCTATTTTGTTTTTACAAAATTTTATATTAATTGTTTTGTATGTTTGAGTCTTCTGTGCAGCGCTTTGGTAACTTTGTGTTTGTAAAATGTGCTATAGAAATAAAGTGGATTGGATTGGATTATACAGAATGGACAATTTCAGAATAGTATATAAATATCACTGGGCTATAATTATTTACAAAATGTAAAATGTACATATTTGTATTTTCCTCCAAAATGTAGTTTAGTATAAGTAGTAAGTACAATATAAGTACGTCTTTAGTACATCTGCATTTATCTGACAGTTATGGTTACTAGTTACTTTTCAGATTAAGATTTTACGTTAAAAACTCAGCAGCTCGTCACAAACTTCAGGCTGAGTTGACCTTTACACTGTACCTCCATGTGTGAGCTTCAACATCAGAGTTATTTCGGAGCCTCAGCTATCAGCAGTAAATCAGATCCTGTAACTTCAGGAGACACGAAGAGTCAACAGCTACGTAAACAAAGGAGTCCTCACAGCGACCTTTAGACAAGTGTTTGTGTCTTTTTTGACCTGGTTGCCATAACTGTGTGTGTCAGTGTTGGACAGTAATTAAGTATATTACTCGGGTTCTGTAAGAACAATTTTGAGGTACTTGTAATTTACTCGAGTATTTCCATTTTATGCTAATCTACTACATTTGTCTGTAGCGATAATACAAACACATGATGATCTTGAAGAATATGATGAATTGCCGTAGATTAAACTACCTAACAGGATATTAAAGGAGTTAGAATTACCTCAACCTTAAACTTCTACTGCAGTAAAATACACATTAATGCAGAAGGAATATTCATTAATCTAAAAACATCAGATACATGTTTGATACTATAAGTAGGCCTACATTTTGCTGATAATACTTACATACTTTGACTTAAGCAAGGTTGAATGCAGGGCTTTTTCTTGAAGTGAAGTATTAGAGTGTGGTATTACTGTATAACTGTTCGTACTGAAGAGTCTGAATACTTCTTCTACCATTGATTATTATAGATAAAGTAAATACTTTACACCCATGGAGGGAGAGAGAGACAGAAAGAGAGAGAGAGAGAGAAAGCCATTCTGCATGAGTACTTGTACTTTTGTACTTTAAGTCTTTTAGATGCTAATGCTTTTGTACTTTTATTCATACACTGTGGTACTGCTACTTTTAGATATGAAATGTTTGCAGCTTATTAGAGTTTTACTAATTACTTATCACTTTCGCTCTTGGGTTTTTGTTTTTGGAAAGGTGATTATGCTCCAGACTCGTTATGTACAGAGTATCGCTCGTTCAAACATCCACACATGAAACGGATTCTGTGTGATCTAACGCTGGATTTTCGCCAACAGGTTCATCCGTCTGCGTGTCAGACTGATCCCCTTCGAATCAGCTGCTGCCCATCCAGGGAACTTTGTGGTGGTTTTGTCGAGCAGCAGCAGAGTTTTCGGCCTGATCAGGATGATCCAGGACCGGGTCGGGATCCAGACCTCCAGGCTGGAGGTTTTCCGGAGCAGAGTGCCCACAGAGGAGGCCCGCCTGCTACCAGAGTGCTCCCTGGAGGAGTGTGGCTTTAAAGGGGGGCCAGAGGAAACTCCTCCAGAGGACACTGTGTACTACGACTACAGACTGCCGTTTACAGACTGTCCCATCCTCAACTGTGACCAGTACTTCAGGTCAAAGCCAGACTCTGCTGCCGGTGTCCGTAAATGACATAACTGTCCAACTTTTTTTAGCCATGCATGTTAGCAGTGTGGATATAGAGATGTCGGTCGGCCTACTACTTTTAACTTGCCATCTTGGCAGTGCCTTGACTTGCCGGCTTCCTTCTAATCCAAAAAAATGGAGAGAGGTGGAGCTGAGGCGAGTTGCTGCAGCTAGCCACCTGTGATGGTACCCACCTGTCACTCAAAGCGGCCATGAATATAACTATGCATAACTTTTTTGTACCAGATTTAGCTACTAGCTCATTGCCATCTGCATTGACTAGATAAATAGCTAATGTTAGCATGCTAAGAGTAAATTGTCATATTTTTGTTGGGTCTAACTCTTTTTTTTTTTTTTTTATTAAATAGAGTTATTTTTTTGTATAACAATCTTTATGAAGTATATTAAATGATGTCTTGAGCTTGACTTAAAATCTTGAAGTGGTAGCTGTGGCCTCTCAAACCTCTTTACTCTGTCTTTCACAAATTACAAGCCATGTTTTCCTGGTTCTTTGTTTGTCAGCAGGTGTGATTGATTGTTTTCATGGTCAAACCATGCCTTCTTTTCAGGTTTAAAATTAGTTTTAGCTTGTGTACAACTGTCACCAGTGCAACTCACACTGGCCTAAGATCAGAACGGTCAACATAGTACTACTTTGGTTCAGGAAACAGGAGGGTTTTGGTTGAGGATAGTAAAAGATTATGGTGCCTTATGTTTCCCTAACCTCACCCAAACCCCACCTAACGTAACCATAAATAAATGTAATAATAAATAAATAAGCCCAACTTCTCGGAGACGGGGTGGAACTTCAACCATCTGAAAATGTAAATATGGCACAAAACTGTTAAAACTGAGTTTCAAATCATTCAAACCCCACAAAAGTTTTTTTTATAGCTGCCATATTTCATTAAGTACATAATTCTGGATGTTTCCTGTAATTAAACATTCAAAACCTTACTTAAGTAAAAGTATTATCAGCAAAATATACTTTTTTTGTATTATTAAAGTAAAAGTACCTGTTGGGCAGAATGGTCCCTTCTGCAAAGTAACATTATTATATCATATTATTGTAAAATTATTACTGATGCTACACGTAAGCAGTTAATGCTACAGCTGGTAGAGGTGGAGCACATTTTAACTACTTTTTCTAATGTTGGATAGTTTAATTTATAGCACAGTAAAACATTTTATTTATAGATTGAGCGTATGTCTTGTTTGTAGAGGGGTAAAACTGTACAGTATTCCCCTCTGAGATTTAGTGGAGAAGAAGTAGAAAGTAGCATACAATTGAAATACTCAAGTAAAGTGAAAGTACCTAAAAACTGAGCAGCTCTTCAGAACTGAGCAGTAAGCAGAATAAACATAAAGTTTAATCAGGAAAGTCTGGTCTTTAAAGAGGATTTATGTAAGTGAGCTGCAGGGGAGCCTCACACTCAGCACCTTGAGGCCTGTTTACACTTTAATTAAAGTCACATTAAGTAACAGTATACAAGATGTTAATATAAAATAGTGTTTTTTAATCGTGTCCTCAGGGGGCCACAGAGGCTGAACTGTGCTGCGTTGGAGTCAGTGGAAAGTGCTTTGCTAGTGGAAACCACAGAGCAGCTATAAACAGCTGCTGGTGGCGGCCACTAAAGCGCGACATGCAGCCGACACACCCAGCAGCTTCCCTGCTGCTCCACCCTGCCAGACTTTTACATTCCAGCTGCAAATGTAGTTCACTCCAAAAACCTGCTGCTGCTTTATTTGTTCCCCCACAAACACACACTCACACACACTACAGCAGATTTCTGCACGAAGACACAATAACATGAACGCAAGATTAACATTTTCAAAGTCAAAATAATATTTATTCCATAGTTTCAAAAATACTGCGCAATATAAATATTACAAAATTGAATACTTTGTGTGCGTCAATATACTTGTAGTTAAACACTGTTTACATTTGGGATGAAGACACAGGCTTCAGACGAGTGCTGCGGCAGCGTGTTGTCCTACAGTGTTAAACATATTTAAACACATCTGCTCTCCGATCAGTAACTTTCTATGTTTTATGATTTGGGCCCAAACCACTGACAGTAAGGCTTCAAAGCAAAAGTTCAACATTTTGGTAAAAAAACACTTATTTGTTTTCTTGTCGGCAGATAGATGAGAGGATTGACGCCACTCTCGTGTCAACACCCAGGAGCTGGTTAGTGTAGCACAAAGACGAGACATAACGTGTTAATAATGAGCTTTAGAGGTGGATTTTATTACCTTTGGACAGAGCCAGGCTAACTGTGTCTTTATGCTAAGCTAAGCTAACTGACTGCTAAAGAGAGCGGTATTAATCCTCTTATCTGACTCCCTAGTTACTTCACAAAATGCCAAGCTATTCCTTTAATTCAACTCCTGTACATATGCGTGTGCATGTAGATGTGAACGTACAGCCGATAAACTGAAGCAGAGGAAGTTATGACACTGCCTCATTTCCCACCTTTGAGAGTTATTTTAGTTGTAGCATATTTTTGGCTTATTTATCCAGAGGAGTATTTTTGAAGTTGAGTTTAAAACCTGTTTTTTGGCCAGCAGAAACAAGCTGTGAAAACAACACTGACATATTATCACCCTTTAAGTTGATATGCTGAACATGTTAGCAAACAGCTGCTTCTTTACTCACTCAGCAGCTACAGAGCAACATTAGCATTCAGTTTATGTTTGTGACCCCTTTAAATTTAAGTCAAATATTGACTCTCTTTTTGCTGTCCACCAACTCCTGAGGGGGATATCTGGCTCTTTAGCTGCTAAATGATAAACTATGTTCACCAGCTCGTCTTTAACTGTGTCTGTCTGCTGTTTGTTGCTGAGCAGGTAGTGTACAGGGGTTTTTTAGAGTTTTTTTTTTTGCCCACACCAGTGAACGAGAACCAAAATTTTGTGGTTCAGACAGCTGAAAATTTCTATAAAGCTCCGTAAAGCATGTATATGATAATCTAGCCTCTTCACTTTGAATCATACAATCCGTTGTTATGATAAAAATTTTAATTGCAGCTGCTTAAAAGAGGAGCAGGCAACCTTTCAACCTGAACGTTTATTGTTACCCGTCATTTTTACCTGTTGTTGTAAAAGACAGAATAGTCTTTCATGTGATGTGAAAGTGGAAATGTTACGATGGAAAGCTTTGTGCGATGCTCTAAAGGCCATGATGAAACAGACAAACTGCTAAAATGCAAAGATCATCTCGTCTTATGTCCAAATTCAAAACAAAATATCCCAGTAAGTTGGGATAATTCTGCTTAAGAAGACATGCTTTTATGACTCCCTACCAAATGACTGGGTAAGAGTTTTTTTGCAGCGTAAAATATGCGGCTTCACAGTTTTTAAAATAGCCATAATTATAAAAATGCATTTCAAAATAGTTCCAGTTAATGCCAGACATGAATCAGTTCTCGGTCCTGGAGAGCAGCTCGGTGGTGTTCCTCAGACAGAATACTGTGTGCTCAGACACAGTTATTTTCCTTGACCACTAAACCCTCATGGTTTATGAGTGTATGAGCAGAGTTTGTTTATAGGGCAGAAAGAAGCTGGGGCAGCAAAATGAGCGTTTAAAAACTAACCCAGCAGATGCCCACAGTCTGTGTCGGAGTCAGTCCTGCTGCTTGGGTCGATTGTCTCAATGCATATATAGTGAGTTGTTTTACACCGAAAACAACTCTATTTCACAACAAGCCTGAAATGAGAAGCAGGAAGTGTGTTTTCCTTTGGTTGGGGGTCTGTCCAGTGAGAAATACTGACTTTGGATGCCGCAAGAAGGGTGAACCAAACGTCCTCCAGTAATCCCAATTGCACTTTATCTTCCACCACAGCTCCTCCTTCAGCATTTAGTCGTAGCCGAGCTCTTGTTCCTCGTCTTTGAGTCGATCTTGGCCACCAGCAGTTTGAGACAGTCTCCCGACGATCGAATCAGTTCTCTACCACTGAAATGAAAACCCAGAGAAAGGACATAAGAAACTGTAAATACCCAATAACAGGGAGAAGAGACTAATCTCTGTAGATCTGTTCGTACTTTATACTTACATGGAATATTCCATCCCAACCAGGCTGATGCCGTTAACAGCCAGGATGCGATCGCCCGTTCTCAGTTTCTGACACAGAGCGGCAGGAGAGTCGGGAACCACTGACTTCACATAAATGCCGCTTATTCTCAGCTGTGTCTTCTATATAAGGAAAAAACAGGAAAAATAAAAGATTAATGACAGCAATGGACGCTTCAAAGTGACGTACAGCAGCGAGTGCGAGTGCTGAAATATTCCTTTTAGCCAGATTACTAAAGTCATGTAAGTCTGTCAGGCCAACTGGTAGTTCCAGAGTGAAATACCTAAAAGATGGATTGTCATGAAATTGTGCACAAACATTAACTGAGGATAAATGATATTGACAGTGTCATCTAATGTCATCAAGTCAAAACTAGAGTTTGTTTAATACTTTGGTTTGTCACCATGGAAATAATAATTGTATAAGTATATTTTTCATAGATATTATATTTTATGTATAATAAAACCCCTTGAAATATTCAGGTTACTATCATAGAAAAACAAACAAATAAATATTCATATCTGTGCTCAGAGGGTATAAAAGTTGTACTGCGTGGTACCATCATCAGGCTGTTGTTAATGATAACTAATGAGCTGTTAAAACACGTATCGCTGTATCACGGCTGGACTGCAGAGCGTCTGTCAGTAAGAACATTTAGAGTGATTAGATGTGTACTTTCAGCCCGTTGAGTTAAAATCCCTGCAGTCTGATCGGATTAGTCCTCTTCATCTGAGGTGTTTCTGCTTCTGGACTGATTTGTGTGAAAACAAAAAACCTCGATTTGAAACAATGCGAGTAAGAAATATGTTTTACACAACTGAAACTGTAAATGCAATTAAATTGATATGTTAAGTTATGAAGTAGAGGTACGCTGGATAAAAAAAAGGTCGTCGTACCGTTCCATCCACGAGTGCCAGTCCGAGACCATGAGGTCCTCTGTGAAGCTCCACCGTGAACACTTCCTCTTTGTCGTCGTCTTCTTCTTCCACATTCTCTGTCTTCCACTTGGCATATCCACTGGCTGAACAAACAAACAGAGAAACACATGAGTGCTGGTACTCACTCAAGTACCCTGACAGGTCCTGCTGGATCTGGGACCAGCTGAGTGTAGGACCACTTCCTTTCACAGCCCCCAAACCATGTTAGCAACTATTAAAACTACACGTTACAGAAAATCAAGAGTTCTGTGAATGAAACGAGAATTCCTCCAGTTTCTCCACCACCAACCACCAGGAGATCCATGTCCTATCTAGAAAGGGGTCTAATCTCCGAAGTCTTTCTCTATCGCTATCCTCAATAAATACACACTTTCACCATATTGACCTGATTTAACAGTTTGTCTTATTTTCTTTTTGGCAGGACAGCATGCGAAACTTTCATTATTTTCATTCGATTAAGAGTTTAAATCCTTAATAATAATAAAAACAATTAAAAATAATTATAACAACAATAATGCATTATATTTACATAGCGCTATGTCTTAGATAGTCAATCAGATCTGTCTGGGGTCTGTTCATACCGACGTTCATGGTTTCCAGACGATAAATCCTACAGCGATGAGCTTCTAAATATTCCTATATCGCTACCATGTGTTTAACATTTCTGTATTCAGTGAAATATCTCAGCAAATATAGGATGGACTGCTGTGACATTCGGTTCAGACATTCATGTTTCCCTCTGGACGAACTGTAATAACTTTACTGATCCTCTGTCTTCTCAACATGTCCAATGCTTTTGTCTGTGACCACTTCCAGCTAAATTAATATTCCCATGAGCCCCACACTAAAAAAATATGGTCAACATGTTAAACAATATACCGTTAAACAAAAGCATGTCAGCATATCTACATGCAATGTAGATATGTAAATGTTATCATGATAAAAATCTATTATTATCACGATAAACAAAATAAATATCTTAATAGTAAATTTGATTCCTACATGATTTAAATAAATTAAATCGAACATTTATTGAATTAATTGAATTATTTGTTATATTTATACCGAGGCATAGTGTCTATTTGAATTGTCTATATCTGTTTATTAATATTTTATATCAATAAAACTATGCCTTTGGTGTGAGAGACCCAGGTTTGAATCCACTGACCAAGACACTTAACCCCTAGTTGCTCCAGAAGCGTGCGACCTCTGACATATATAGCAGTTGCAAATGTAAAATATTTGCTTCTTTACACTGAGGATGTTAGCATTGTTACATTAGGTGGTTGCTGAGTCGTCTTGTTTAAAATGATTGTACCAGTGGTGGCAGAACAGCACACTAAACATTATTCCTCCAAACAGAGAGCACATCTTTGATGCAAAGTAAGTGTTTAAACTCTTAAATCATCCGCTGAGCTGCCTGAAATCAGAGCTGTTAGCCTGAGCAGTGGGGACTGAATGTGGACAGGTTAGCACGTTGCGGTGCTGTAACAGGGACTTCCTGTCTTTCTCATGTGGGCCGCCTGTCACAACAACAGCGCAGCAGCAACAGTAGCATTCCCAAAAAAATCTGTTCCCACCCCTGCAGCTCCTGACCCCCCACCTCCACTTTTCCCAACATGCAGCCTGTCTGCCCCCCACGCAGGACCTACCCTGAACAATGCCTCTCCCGATTAAGATTCCACGCACCAACCCAACTGTAAATTCCCATGACGGATCGGCCACTGCTCTTTTCTCTCCTGACATCACCACCTCTCTGTAATTCTTGGGGTCAGATTAAAGGATTACCAAACTTTCAAAATAACATTAGCCGTTTGCCAAAACCACAAATATACTGGAGACCAAGGTGCCGGCTCTGCACGGAGTTCCCATCAGGGTGTAAAAACAAAACAGAAAGCAAAAAAGTTTAATCTTAAAAAATTACATTTCATACATCATTCAGACTCATCAAATATTGGTTAAAACGTTTTTATTCCAGAAAATCAATGACAAGTGTGGAATCTCAGATATGAACCAAGTGGTTATTTTATTTATTATAGTGATTTAATTTCTTTTACTACAGTGTTTTATCTTCTTGACTGAGTGTCATCCTGTCAGGGCAGCAACTAACTAGTAACTACTATTTATTATCAATGTGTTGAGTCTTTTCCTGATTAATCAATTGATAGTTTAGTCTTTTAACCATTGGCTATCAGGGGGAAATGCCATCATCATGTCCAAAACCCAAATATATTAAATTTACTATGATATAGACATGGAACATGAAAAAGAACTGAAAATGCAAACTATTAAATATGCTACCAGTTTGGACAGATGTACACGCAGATGGTGCCAGATGGCTTTGTTCCAATGTAATCCTCAAACTCTTTAAGCAAATTACTTTTATTAAAGGCACTAACAGAGAGAAAACATAATACAACAAGTAACCGATGAGTAAATCTGCTTAAGATCAACAAAATCCTTCAGCTTAAACCCTTTCTGTAACAGCCCACAGCCACAGTGGGGAGCGCATTAACACGGGTTGAACCTCTCACACTCAAACACAGTCACATACGACCAAAAGAGTTTCTGAAGGTTCAGATCTTAGACCAGCCAGCCTCCTCTTTCCTGATTCCACCACACAACAGAGACAGACCACACACTACACATCCTTAAAGATTGTTTTTACTTCCGTACTTATTAGGGCAAATTTTTCATGACCTAAAAAAAGAACATTTAATCTGTTTTCTCCACCGGGCTTGAATTTTTGGCTCAGAGTGACCATGTCGGCACTGCATTTTAACTCTGTTACACTTATTCTGGTGAAATTAAACAGTAAATGAACACAGTTTTCTCTATAATTGATAAGTAGGCAGATGGTGCTCTCCTTCTGAGGCTGTTACGTTCAAGACATCCTCCAGGTTAATGTTAATGACTTGTTTATCTGATTTAAGTATAGGACACTCAACTAGCAGGAATCAGTACTAGAATTGGCAAGCTAGGCTAGCTAAGCTTCAACTTTCTGAGTGAAATACAAACTTGATAGCATGATGGGTACAAAACAGGACACATTTGCCCACGCTGTTGCATGGATGCCATATTGTACAAGTAGTTACAAGTTGCTATTAACGTCCTCATCATTCAGTCTTTAAAACGAGTGAAAGGCACCATATTTAGATAAAAGATATTTACAGCTGTAATCACAATGATTCAGCTCTTTATTTTATAAAAAATAACTTTTTGTCATATTTGCTGAAACTTTCACTACATCCTGACAGTAGTACATGAGACCGGTTCTAAACGACCAATCAGAGCCAGGAAGAGTCTCTAAGTCTCTCTCTTTCAGAAGCCAACAACGGCATTGACTGGTGGCAAAGAGGCACGATGACAAACAGTGGGGACTAACTTTTGAGGGGAGACGGTGGTGTACTAGCCTCTCATCCCGCTGTTAGACGCTGTCGCAAAGCATCAGAGGAGCGTCTTTGAAAAGACGACTCAAAGCGAGATGGACCTGGGTCTTGGCGAGGCTCTTGCCGGGGGACAGCGAGCCCTACGCAGGATGAAGTTTCGCAAGGCAACTGTTCCTTCTTGTGGGTTTGGTGGTAGGGGCTTAGCGGAGTGATGCAAGCAGTAGAGAGAAATGTGGAAAGTTTTGCATTGTGTGTTCAATTGTTGCCGACTGCTGCTTTAACCTGCAAGACATTCTGTGTGTCAAATTGATGGACGGAAATGGCCACTCAAGGACATTCCAGGAATGGTTATTAGTCCAAGAGAGAGGCCTCAAGGCCTTTTGACTAACTGCTGGAAATTGTATTAATCTTCAGTACTTACTTACTATCAGTAAGCACTATTCAGTACTATTCACCAAGGCCTTAGTTGACATGTTTTCATTACATTTGTATTCACATCACTGGAATGGCTTGCAGGTTAAGTGGGTTGAAGAATTTTGATTGCAACTGCAGATATATTTACACATTCATTCTGCTGCGCTTCTGTTGAAATGAAAAGGTATTTGGCATTTCCCTCAATTCCTTTTAAGACTAAATAACAATCAAGTGTCATCAGAAAATGTACAATGGTATATTAGGGCCAGTGAAAATATATATTTGACAGCTGCATAACCTGCTTTTAATGCTTATAATGACACAAGTACATCTGCAATTTAGCATTTGTCTGATTTTTTTCTAAGTGTTTTTCTTGGAAATGTCTGAGTTTTTTTCTCATAAATTTATCACTTTAACCTTTCAGTTTTTTCTCAAGAATATTACCCCACTCTCCCAGCTCCTTAAACAGTGTTTTCTACCTATACAATGGCACTAATACGCCGTTGTAGAAAATTATACTAATTATACCTAATTTATTGTTTCAGGCACTCCGCCTTTCTTTCACCTGTTTTAAAGACTGAATCACATAAATACATTAACATCTACTTACAAACTAATATCCATGCAATAGCGGTCACAAAATATGGTGTAACACTGGCTCTCAGGTGTCAAACACTTGGCTTGAAGCTTAGACCACAGATGTGTTTAGTTTATATTTTCTTACACAAAAAGTGTGGAGAATTAAAATTTCAGTTTAAAGCTGAAGAAGTCGGCTCTCACGCTGACTCCCTCACGCTGACTCCCTCACGCTGACTCCCTCTCGCTCCTGGAGATGACCTCATGACGGAGGCTTTCAAAAACAATAGGGGTGGGAGAGGAAATTCTCTTTCCTTTGCACCGCGATCCCACCCTCCACAGCCTTCCACTTGAAATTCCTGACCTTCTGAGTAAGTTAAAAGATGAAGGGAGTACTGTGAAGGCGCTCCACCTCCTTTATGTCAGGGGCACCTTCATGTGGACCTGGAACCGCCGAGCTCAAATATGCAGCGGGTCCTCGAGGTCAAGTCACTAAATACCTTCGCTAATAGTCAGTCAGAAGAGGCAAATGAGGTTTTAAGAGGTGACCTCAATCTAGACGTTACTAACAGGACAGGGTTTAAAGCAAAGTGGTCATATTCTCAGTGACAGAGCTGTGTGTCATTCGAATCAAAACCTGCTGTGTGTAAGAGAAGCCATGAAAGGGCCTTTTGAGATGCAGTCGGTTCGTCATCATGAGCGGTTTACGCTTTGTTTCATGGTTTCTTTGCTCTTAACTCTGAGCTATCGTCTTCTGTTGTCAGGTTTCAGTTAACGTGTTTCAGCTGTTTGTGACTTTAAAAGACAACTTTAATGGATCTGTGACGCCATGTTTATTTAAAAAATGTATATTCTTTCACTCAGTATGTTTTTAATATTATACACTGTATACTGTATCTAACAACTGTTTCATTCTTGATTTACCTGATGATTTCTAGCCCTGCTAGCTGTGATGGACAGCAATGTTTGTTTATCTCTCAGTTGATCAACCACATTGGTCCCGACTAAAACATCACAACTATAGGATGGATTGCCATAAATTATCAAATAACATGATATTCGTGGTCCCTGGAGCAGAGATTTTCAAAGTGGGAGGCCGGCCTAACCAAGTGAAAATATATTACATTTCAGTTATCGAAAAGAGACTATTTAGGGGTGGTGATGGTACAGTGGAAAAGATACATGCCTTTGATATGAGAGACCTGGGTTCAATTCCCCACTGTGACACATCAACCAATGTGTCACTGAGCAAGATCCTTTACACCGAGTTGCTCCAGAGGCGTGTGACCTCTGACACAGATAGCAATTGTAAGTCACTTTGGATAAAAACATCAGCTAAATGTAGAAAAGCCAAAATGTGTTTAATTTGGTTAAAGAGAGATATAATAGTAGTTTTGGGAAGCCCACAGTCTTTCCCATTTCAACAGAGCCAGAAACTAATAAATGCCTTAGGACAGACCTTTTTTTATGTATTTAGTGTAGCCTGAAGTTGTGTCAAACAGACTGTCTTGGGTCAATTGTTGGGTGTCAATGGGATCAAATAATATTATCATGATCCCATAGGCATCCAAGAACTGAGCAAAACTAAGCAGATAAACTAAGGGGGTTGGGGGGTACCCTTTTCCTTTTCCACAGTCTCAGACTTTGAAAACTCTGAACTAGAAGATACTTAATCACTTTGGTAATCCATCATCAGGTTAAAATTTAAGTTTGTCCAATAGATTGGTTTGCTACCAAATACCTGCAAGACTAAGACATTCCCATCAGCCTCAACCGTACTTTGTTTTAAGTGCTAATTAGAAAATGTTAGTATACAAACAAGCTAATCAAAGAGGGTGAACATGGTAAATATTACCTGCTGAACATGTTAACTTGTTAGCATTATCATTTTGAGTATGTTAGCATGGGATTTAAGCATTTAGCTCAAATCACCTCTGTGTTGTTTTTGATTAATCATTTAGTTTGGAAATGCTTCTTTTTTTTCCCAACCAACAGTCCAAAACTTAAACATATTCACTTTACAATGGTACTGTATGTATGGACTGTAAAATACTCTAATCTAATGGGAGGGGGGAGATCAAAAGAACAATCGCCTTTGGTTTTATGTTTGGCTAGCGGTACAACCAACAGGTTTTGGTTGGAAGACCTTAGCGGCCCCTTAATGTTCTAAGGGCTTTGTAACTTGGAAATGCCTTATAAGTGATTAAAATAATTTTTAAATCAATCCTTACCCTGAAATACAGTGTAATACCTTTGGCCTTATTGGCAACACCTCATATTCACTAAAAAGAGGATGTGACCACCATAGTGGTGGTCACATCCTCTTTCGTCTCACCTGAGAGTTGTCTGTTAGCAGCATGTCTCTGCCTGTTCAGGAGAAAACATCAATAACATCCTTCTGAGGAGAGAGACATCTCACGGATTCAATTTGGATTGTTTATAGCTGGAACAACCTATTTTTGATGATGAGTATGATTAACATCTTCTTTTACAGATTTTTGTCTCACCAAGAATATGTTGATAGATCCCTATCTTTTCTTTCTTTAGTTTTTCCCTGCCATAAAATGTAAAATGCCCATTTTATTTTGTTTACCATTAGTAGTTTCTATGATGATTGTTTCCTCTTTGGATAGTTATGTCATTCATTTATTACATTTTCTTTGTGATAGATCTAATATTTCAGTTTAATTTTGTTTTGGCCCTGTCCATAAAGGCATGTTTTGTCCCCTATATGGGAACATGACTGTTATCCAGCTCTGTATTTATGTGACATGTGCTGTCGTGTTTATGTGACAATGCCTGACGAAGACCTCTGTTAAATTTAATTTACTGGGAGCTTTCAGTAAAGTTCTGTTACCTTTCTTTTGTTGGCGGGCGCCCTCTTGCAGATCCGCCTCCAGCTCAGCCAGCTCCATACCCTGTGGGGTGTTGGGTGGTGTCAGCAGGCAGGACGGGTCCAGTGCCAGGCTCTTGTGGCAGCCCAGGTCGGCCTGTCCTGGGAGGGTGTTCTGCAGCTCCAGGCTCTTCAGCTTCTGGGTCAGGACTGCCTCACAGCTGCTCAGGTCACCATGAGATCCCAGGGCCTGAGTTGGCTCTGTGGTGAAGGTACGGTCCAGGTCTGCCTTAGGGGATGTGCTGTTAACCGGGTTAGAGACCACCTGACGGGCAGGATCCTGGAACACTCTGATGGAGGGTGAGGTTGTAGACTGGCTGTCTGTGGTCGTCCCCTTGAGGACCCGAGTCTGAGAAACATAAAGTCAATCAACAACAGATGTAGAAACATCAAGGTGTCTCGTTTCCTACTCTGGGGTCAGAGAGCTCGTTACCTGTTTCTCCACATCAGGCTCTTGGGTTTCACTGCGGGGGAGCTGGCGTATGAACTCCTGTAGACGACTGAGCTGTTCAAACAGAGCAGGCTCCACGATAGGTTTACCCAGCTCCAGGTGAAAGGTGCTGCTTGGCAGGATGAGCGGCGGGTGGTTGTCGAAGCTCTCCAGGATAGCGGCTGCAGGAAGAGAGAAAGGCCTGCCGTCATCCATCACATTACAGCTTTCTAATGAAATTCAATCCTGTACCTTTAAATAACGCCGCTGTATTTGGGTTAAAACCTAATTAAAAGCCGTAAATAAAGTACAGGACTGATGCAACTGTTGCTGCATCAGTTGATGGTGCTTAACACAGCAGGGTGCTGTCAATCTGACAAAATAGATGAGAGCGAGGTGGCGGAGGTCCTGCTAATTGAGGTGGATTTGAGGAGTACCTGTGGGCTGAAGCTGATTGGTGGAGACAGACTAACAGGATGGGATTACTGTGGAGGAAAACACCAACTGAGATGAAGACTCCTACTTCTAAATGCCTTTAAGTGTTAGTGTAATGGTATGCTTCTAATTATAATTAAAAATACGATAAGATTTTTTAAAAAGACGTAAATGGAAGTAAGAAAGAACAAGAAGGGGATTTTATCCTCATCTGCACGAAGCTCAAATATATAATATATATATATTTAAATACAAAATACCAATAAAGAGAGAATGTAACAAAAATAAGACATGCTAATTCGACTGCAGGAGACTCAATGATTAAAAACTGAGAATGTGTATATAATAAGTATAATAAGTTAATTAAAAGGTGGAGCACATCCTAGACTACATTCAGTCAGAGCTATCAGAAGTTAAGTTAAATACGCTGTTATTTTCAGTCTTGTGCAGTCAAGCATGCCTACTGTCAAGTTCAAACATGCAAGCTACACAATAGATTGTTCTTATTCCTGCTGAAAGAGGAGTTACTTCAGTTTACAGTAAACAGGTTCGCCTCGCAGAAAGGAGGTTCAAAATAAAATTTTAGAATCCCTGCATATACACCTATAAGACCTATTACATCCTGAACTGATTATGACTAACCATTTATTTTCCATATAAGTCTATATATATTTTCAGCTAATCAATTATCCGTACACTGACCAGGAGTCTGCACAGGGTGTTTTATTTTGAAAATTGACGCGATTCTGTTCTGTGTCTGACTTCCTGCCCTGTTCATCTGGGCTAAGTTCAGCGCAGACAAAACGTAGCAAAACGTTTTATTTAACAGAAAAGGTGGTTCCCTGAACACCCTGCCGTGTACGCAAGGGCACTGAATTTTCCTGCCTCTTAACGCCATTGTGTTTACACACTTTTCACAGCTGATTGGGTAACACCTGAGACACGCACACCAAACAGGAGAAAACATACCTCGAAGTCCGTTGCAGAACGTTGCAAGGAAACATGTCGTTCAATCTGAAAATGTTGCCAACCGGTGCAAAATGTTTTGAGATTGAACTCACCCCTACTCTGTGCTACTTGTCACGGCTTGGCAGTGAATATTGAACTTTTAAAAAATAATAATCGGAAATCGAATCGTAATCGCAAAAAATCGCAATTAGATTTTTTACCCAAATCGTTCAGCCCTATCACTCACCTGTCCTGACAGTGTCCTCCACATCTTCCGGTGATGGGGTCCATCCGGTGGGACAGGCTTTCCCAGAGTTGTACTCCCTCAGCATGTGGTGAAGCTGAGCAGGGTTCAGGGCAGCAAACTCAGTCCTGAGAGAAGCCCAGGACGCCTGGACAGACATGAAACAACAAAGAAAAACACAGAACACTGAGAGACATGAACCAAAAAAGACCTCAAAAACTAATAAATCCATCAATTGTTTAAACTTAACGACTCACAAAAGCTCTTTGTAGTAATTGTGAGAGTGACAGTGTGGGAGTATTTTTTCCATCATGTTTGTTTCCATATAAGGAAACGAAGTCATTGCTACTTTCATTTGCATGCAAAGTATTTTAAACCAATTATATGATCTTGTAAATTGTTTTTTTTTCTCTCTGTAACAAGGCCTTTTGGGTAAATATGTCTCTGTCTGAATGTAACACAGTAGAACTTCAAGTTGTCTCTTTTCAGTGCAGCTTTCCTTCAAGGCTCCATTCCTGTGTTTATTCTGCACTCCAATAAAAAAGGTGAGTGCATTATAATTAACACATCATCCTTGTTCTGTGCAGTGTGAGAAGTTTAAACGCTCCACCTCTCAGGTTGCTGGGAAAGTCCTTATCATGTAATATAAGACAATATTTGATCTTTTGATGACTGCAGAAAGTAGCTCAAGGATAAGGAAGCAGGTGAGCGACTCATGTGATTATTACAAGACAAAGATTACAAACGTTACATAGTTCATTCAGTCTGTTTGCAGTTGAATTGGTGGAAGTGAGACTTTGCCTAGACATGCCGGGGCCACAATAGCAACCACAAGTTAAATGTTGTTGTGTCCCTGCCCTTCTCTAATAACACAGACGCCACACTGAGCTCAGAAGAAGGTAAAGTTTAAATGCTGCTTATAAACAGCAGAAATATAAAAATGTCTCTGTTTGGTATGTCTGAGATTTAATGTTTGGTGGCTATATTCTCCAGAAAATAACTCCTCAGATGTTGTGTACTCCATAACTGCTGACAAAACAAACGTTGCCACATCCCTCCAGTATAATTTACCAGCGAGCCACTTCGGTTCTCAAAAGCCCAGAACTCCAGATGGAAAACTAAAAATCTGTTGAGGGTGTGTGCTCTGTTGCAGCAGCCACAACGTGACCTCATGTCAGGGCAGGGATACATAGTACCACTAGCTTCCTAGCAACCGTCCAATCCCACGACCAGACGAGACACAGCCTTCAACAGCTGTGTCACGGGTGGGCTGGTGCTGTTTCGTGCCTCGGAGATATTTCAGTCAGGTACCACAACTGCGAGTCATACAGTGAAAACAGGTGTCAACCACGGAGTGTAAAAATACCTCAGGCTTAACCCAGGTTTTCAAAATAAGACCAGGATCATGTCAGCTTTAAATTAGTTCTGTGGTCAACTCAACTGTCTTAAATTACATTATATTAAATATGATAGAGACCATTACCTTTGTTCTGTATCACTGATTCACTAACAGGGGTATTTGTACATCAGGGTGTACCTATGCAGTTGTCAGAGTGTACGTGGAAAGCTCAACAAATTAACTCAACTGAACCACAAAATAGGGCTGCACGATTAATCTAATCGCAATTGCAATCATGATGTCATCCTGTGCAATTACCTAACCGCAAAAGGGTGAAATTGTATTTAACAAAAAAGCGCGCTGTGTGTGGGTGACACTAGTCTCTGTGTGCACTGCAGCCCACAAAGGACTCCACAGAGTGACCATTTCACTTGCATATGACCCTAAAAACAGATATGTACAAATTAGAAAAAATGTTTATAGGCTGTGTGCAAGCAAAGACTGTAAACCTACCATGAACAGCTTTAATTTGTTAGCTAAAAGCAAAGGATACATAGTTGAAACTGATAGTTAAAGGTAATGGATAGTAGCTGAAATTGCTAGTTAAGAATAAATAGGTGAAACTGTTAACGGTCATGGATAAACAGTTGAAATTGTTAGCTAAAAGTAATAGATAACATTAAACAGTCATGGATAAACAGTATAAATAGCTTGTCATGGATAAATAGTTACATGTTGGTTATATCATAACTATCTATGTATACAAGATACATAGATAGTTATGGGGTTATATACAGTGTATACGGTATACGTGACCATTTATATGTATAGCCTTTCTATTTAAAGCAACAGTAGCACATGGCTACTTCAGCACAAAAACATTCAGAAGGTTCATCATCTTTCCAATGAACCTGTGAATCATTGCAAGGTTTGTAGTTTGTTATCATTCTGCATAACCTTTGCCCCTCGTGTGTCATACCTGGGTATGTAATAATGGGTTATGTGTTGGTTTCTCTTAATAACTTTAATTACCTCAGTGTTTAATAACCAGCCAAGTGAGAGCTCAGCTTCCTTCTGTGGTATAAAGTGTAATGAATGGGTAACTAAGAGAGCACTGTGGTTAAGGAAGGGTTTCATGTTCAGTTGGCAAGCTAGGTTAAACACAGGTAAAAGCAAATATGAAGTTGTTGTACGGTAGTGTTTAAGTGACGCCGTGTGTTATTCCTAAGCATACACTGACATAGAGGGTATAAAAGGCTTTAAAATGCCTTTACTCTAATGTGTTTCTGTGTCATTAAAATGCCATTTGAGCTCTTAGCCACATGTTTCCACTGAGCTTACGGCAGAGTAAATAGAATTTAAACTGATAACATAACACACACATACTCTGGCTAACAGGATGTACAAGAGGATGTAATTTCAACTTAGATAAGTGATGGCCACACCTTTGTGGGCACTATGAGATCATGAGTTGATCAGTTTAGTGTATTTACACTTACTCTGCTGCTGCGGGCCATTTCCTCAAATCTCATCACTGAGAGTGGCACCATGGGAGTTTAAGTACATATGTTCTTGAGACCACTATAACCATAAACCAATAACATTCCAGTGACTTACACAGACTTGACAGCATTTATGGCATTTTTATTCATGCTGGGGAAACAAAAAGAAACTGTAGAAAAGAGTGGGAGCTGATGCTGCAGTGGTAAACGTTGCAGCTAATACACAAACACACATAACTAATGTTGTACTGACACCTTTAAGAAAATGAAAACATTCAGGCTGACGCAGTCATGACTCAACTCTCGAGGCTACTCCCGCCCGTGAACAGACAAACAGGAAAAGAGAAACGGATGTCCTCTGACCTGCAGGAGGGTTTCTTTGGGTGTGGCCAGCAGATTGACAGCAGCAGAAAGCTTCTGGAAGAACTCAGTGGCCAGATCGCCTAGACCGATGCTCTGGATCCAGTCCATCAGCAGGTCCAAGTTGGCTCGGATCTGAACACCTCGGGACCACTGGTAGAACCCTGCATCAGATCCTGAAGAAGATTACAGAATTGTATTACACTGATATTGATGTGCAACCTACGTAATGCTCAACTGTCTTAGGTTTTACATTCAGTAACAGAGCAGGCATGTAATTAAAGAAGGTATAAAGGCATATTAGCAGTTACAGTAGTAGTATATAAAAATATAGTTTATTAGCAAATGCAATCCAACATATCGTTATCTATTTCAGCACGTTTGAGATTAATATAATGGATGTCGTGCAAATACATAATATACTTCAAACACTAGCAGTTTTGAGGTGCTCACAATGAAAATGCTGACATGTTGATGTTTAGCAGCTATACTGTTTACCATGTTCACCTAGTTTAGCGTATTAGCACTAAGCACAAAGTTCTGATGATGCCGATAGGATTGTAATTAGTTTTTCAGGTATTCATAAATTAACATCATGCAAATGGTAATTTTGAACTGATAGGTGCGCTACATTAAATGTAAAGGGATCACCAAAGTGATTATAGTTAATCCTGAGGGGAACATGAATGTGTATCATGGTAATCTCTCCAAATTTCTTTATAGAAACAATTCACAACCACAAATGTTAACCCCACGGTAGTGCCACCGGCAAAGTCAGAGGATCACCAACATCATTTAGTTCATCCTCTTGGGACCATAGATGTTATGCTGAGATATTTCAGTCTGGACCAAAGCGGTGGACCAACATTGCCGGCCATATAGCACAACTAAAAGTTCAAACAGGTCTAACGGGTTTCTTAATAAGTGAGCTTATGTCTTACCTCTCTCCATGAGGGTGTTGAACAGCGACGCGTTGATGAAGAAGAACAGGTAGGCACAGAGTTGTAATGAGATGTCTGGATGGACCTGGAAGGCTGTGAGAAGCTTCAGTGCCTCTTTCAGCACCTCCAGGATGCCGCTGAGCCCGTCAGGCACCCGCAGCTGACCGCTCTCTGAAAACGGGTTCCCATCCAGCAGACCAGGCAAGGCTGAATACATACTCTGTGGAGAGAGGTGCTGACATTTTACATCTCTGCTGTAAAGACCAGCTGGATGCTGAACTGCAAGCTGTACAAAGTACTGGATAATATGAACCTCTTGACTGGAAGACACCCTCTTCTACAATTACCATTGCTAATGGGAATCATCAGTGACAAGGCTGATACTGAGTATCATTGCTCACACACTACATGTTGTACGTAGACACAACTTATGTTTGCCTTCACCCGATTCCTGATTTAAAATACTGTGCAATAACCTTTGTTGGAAAATAATGTACTTTTCTTGTCTTGTGCTGCTATATACAGAACAGAATGACGTAAACAGAGGAAGGCATTCACAGAGCGTACAGGAAACCTTGCGGGAAAGCTTGTTTCGCAAAACAAAGGGCAGCTGTAGGGAAATGAAAAACACTATCCTTCTCTTATACTGCAATTTGAGTCTTTTTACACGTTTAGAACCGCACGTACATCCCAAGACAAGGATTAAAACAGAAAACTGATAATTAGAATGAAACATCCTGGCGCCTTAAATGTGTCCTTTAACATGAACAAATCATTAACTTGTCAATTTTAAGACATACGTAGATTTAAGAACAAACAAATTAAATTAAAGTTTATCATCGCGGGTAAATGTACAACTGCCATGTTTGATTTGACACAACACCACACACTACCAAAGTAAGTACAAAGTGTACACAGCTACAGGGAAGTGTAGGGAAGTATCCCAAATGAAACGCAGTGTTAGTGTTTAATGCCAGTTAGCATATTTTAGCATGCTAACACGCTAAACTAAGACAATAAACATGGTAAACAGTATACCTGCTTTACATTAGCACGTTAGCATGCCGACTTAATTTCAGCATTTAGCTCAAAGCACCACTACATACAGCCAAACAGAGCAGTTAGCATCATGGCTTTAGATTCTTAGTCTTGTTAATTCTCAAATGGTTAACTCTGCAATCATACGTCCGCCTTGTGTTGCTGTGATGCTCACAGGTTGTAAACATGGGAAGCTTTCCCATCTATTCCACATGCTTGAAAGAGTGCTGCTTTGTGTGTAGGCAATAATTTAGAGAGCGTAAAAACCGACAATATAAAGCTCTTTAACAGTTCACAGCTCCCTAGTGCTCCAAAATAATATGAATAAATAAATTATATATATATATATAAAGAGGAACAAGAGAGTTCTGCAAATCCTGCAGAACCTCCCTTTTTTTTAAACCATCACGTCATTTTGAGTCTTCAAAGAGATCCAACTCTTATCACTACTCCTTCTTTTGACACAGCCACTGTTTCTCACGCATGACATCACCTGGTAATTACACAAACACACATACACACTCTCCCTCACACACCATGACCTCAGACAAACTGAAAGAGGTCATAAAGACAACAATAACCCTACATGCCTGAGGCAACAGGTCAGCTGATCTTAGTGAGGCCAGTAAATATGCAGGTGCTGATCGTTTATCACGGAGACAGACTATAAAGAGACAGAGGACGGGTGAGGATTTTTACTTAAAGACTATAAATACTGTAGTTTTAAAAACACATCTGCATGGTTGAACATTTTTTCCTTCTTTTTGTTCTATTCAGCACTCTTGCGTTGGAGTTAACAGCTGCCTTAATGCCATTTTGCAGTGTTATTTATATTGTTTGTTTTTTTTGCCAGAAAAAAAGAAGAAGTGAAATAATGATGTCTGTATCTTATGAACATTCAGTCATGTTTAACAGGAAATTAACAGGAAAACCTTTTTCCCCTCCTCACTTCCTTTCCCCTGTTGGGTGTTTCTCCGATGACAGTTTGTCTTCCTCTCCAGGAAACGGACTGCTCTTCATAGCTAGCTTATCCTGCCTTTACCAGGCAACACTTAAATAAAGTTTAGAGAGAAACTGCAATGTTGCCACAGTACACTTAACAAGCCTCACAAGTGACTAAAACACCTGATGAAAAACTGCCTCTGACTAACTCCTCAGCAAAGAGTTTCTTTAGTCTGAAAATCACATACCGTAAAGTGAAAGGTCTGTTTTTCAGTAGGGGCTGTTGTGCATCAATAGAAATATGTTTGAGTATTTAAAACAATGGCACAGACTGTTACTGCTTCCTCAAACAGTCCCTGCTGCTATGATGTGTCTATGAAGTGTGTGTGCTCGACTGGATCCTGCAGACAGCAGCTTAAACATGGGAAAGTTACATAAATCTAGCCAGGGAGTGTCCTGCTGTGTCACAAAAGAAATCCAGACACACACTAAGATGCATTTTCCACACTTGTTTTTCCAGAGTTTGCGTCCATATTTAAGGCCTTAGAGTTGTATAAACTGTATCTACAAATATAACAGATCATTTTTGTATTTAACGTTTGCTGTGGTGTACCCCACGGCTCCATCTTAGGCCCTATTTTATTGTCCTCATGTACACTTCGGCTGGGATTTTTTAGAAAATGTAACATCATTGCTAAGCTGACAACACCACAGCTGTACTTCCCCTCAAAATCAAATTAAACACATCATCTTGAGGACGCCAGACGCTGAGTGGCCAACAGTTTGCTCCAGTTAAATGAGAGTCAGACAGTAGATGTGAAAATAAAACGCTTTCTTTCTTTTGGAGATCAGGAGACCGTCTTACATGCTTTTATTATCTTAAATCTTGACTAATGCAACTCCTTTTATGTGGGAGTCAATCGCGAGACTCCTCTCTGGTCCCAAGAAAAGACCACAACTCCCCTGTACAAGCATAACCTTACTGCGTCCCAGTGAAACATTGAATTAATTTTAAGACTATTTTCTTCCAGATTGTGGAATAGTTTGCCCCCCACCTTTCTACAAGTGTGTTTGCGTTCCTTTAACTAATTTAACAATGACATAGTTTTAATTTTGTCTGTTAGAATTATTCACCATTTTCTTTTTGTTTTAATCGTTTAATTGTACTATCTACAAATTTCTTTGTAAAGCACTTTGTTGATTGTTTTTAAATGTGCTCTATAAATAAACAATTCCTTAATGCAACTGCAAGACTAAAAAAGGCCTTTAGATGTTCATATAGTGGTTCTCACCAAATCCGGCATTCTGGTTTTGTTATTCAAAGAAATGTGAAAACCTGGGAGACAAGATTGTCTTCTTGTTTATATTTGAGTCAGTGGAAAAGACTCTCTGCTCACTATCTCACAGGCCTTTCCTGGCTGAGAGTGCCAGACAAAGTTGGTGTTTCCATTCTGTTATTGTGTTTTCTGTCTGGAATAGACTCAATGAAAACAGAATATGGTGTTTACACAGTCCAATTTCCTGCTTCACATGTGACCGACACTCAGATTTTACAGGTCAAAACAGTGTGAAACATGTTGGTATCGGTAAATGAGTGTGTGGTTTACTCTGTGAACATAGTATATAATGTGTGGCAGCCAACCTTTGTTAGATAGTAGACGGACTGCTGGAAGGTGAACATGATGCCTTCCTCCAGGACTGTCATGGCTTCCTCACAGGCTATCCGAGTGGACGACATCTCAGAGTCCAGCAGACCTGATAACACACACGAACAAACTTTAAAAACACATACACAACACACTACAGTTGGAACAGCTGTGAGCACAACAGATGTAATAAAGTTAAAGGTGTGTTTTTGTCCACCTTCGTCCTCCTGGTTCTTCCTCCAGGGCAGCAGCTGAGGGACTTCATGCTGGATGAAGTGCAGCAGCTCGATGGAGTTGGCCATCCACAGCACCAGAGGCTGCAGACCTGGGATCAGCTCCTCCATGCTGAGCAGCTGAAGATAGTCAGGCTTCCCGTCACTGCTGCTCCTAAAGGAAAAATACAGAGATTCCTGCTGAAACAAATCTAAAAAAGTTATAGTTTGACTAACTATAAATATGGGAAATCTTATCTTTCTTAGCAGTGACTCGATCATCTTTTTTACTCTTTAATACACAACCGTTTTATGCAACTCAGAGGCTGAATGCACTTCACGTCTCTGGCTGACCCATCAACAAGAGGTCTTACAAGATTTAAGATGTGTGATCATATAACATCTGTTGTCTTTGCAAGGGATGATTTCAAAATCCTCCTTCTGACTTACAAGAATTTATATGGATTGGCCCCTTCCTACATCTCCAGTCTTTTTACTTATAACTCATACACCCCATCACATCCTTTACTTCCTCTTCATGCCTTTGCCTTCTTTGGTACAATTCGGGAGGCACGCTATTTGGACACTTTCGAATCTAGGCTTAAAACCAATTTTAAACTGATTTTTACTTTAGAAACTAGTTGCCTCAATCCTGTTTTTATAGAAGCATTCTTACCTTTATGTTTGGGAAGCAGGTAAGACCTTATAGTTGTGTGTCTGACATTACATTTTAACCTTAAAATAATCTGATGTTGAAGTTAATGATGATGCATTTGGCAGATTAAAAAGAAACCTAAATTACAACAACATTCATTAATGAAATGTCCTGGCATTACTGTTCCTTAGCTGTCACCACGTCTAAATACATAATTAAAATTGTTTTTGTGCAGACTGTTCATGAACAATATAACCCTCCCAATGTTTTTCTTTAGAATTCAGTTAGTCTAACCTCAGAATTCTTGTTAATATTTGTACAATTTGCTGTATAAGAACTATCACAAAAGGGGACCTATTTTGATTTCACTTCCTCTAATATTTCTGCAAATCAGCAACATTTTATGTGCAGTTAAACAAGAGTTACAGCATATTTCCACTCCTCCTTATGAAGCAATTGTCAACGTTATTGCTTTTCCTAATCTAACAAGTCAAAAGTTGTTTATTAAGAGAAGATTTTCTTTTTGCTTTTGCATGTTTATAAACTTAATACCTTACTTACCGCACTGTTACTTGGACAAAACAAAGATCTCATGTGCATTTTTTCAATATTTGTTTTATATTTCATGACAAAATAATAATCAAATAATAACTGATTGTCATGGTTGGCTGTGCCCTCAGCTCCCAGTGTTTCTGCTGTGTATCCCTCCCTTGTGTTTCTTGTCTGTCTTCTCTTTGTGTGTGTGTGTGTGTGTTATTTGGTCATGGCACTCTGGTCTCCCTCTTTGGATGGCCAATTACCTACACACCTGTGACTCGCCTGGGCCTAGTTCAGCCCCAACAAAATGTAACAAAGTGTTTATTTCAATGGAAGCGATGGTGCCTTGAACACCTTGTAGTGTATGCAAGCATGTACCTTAAAGCTGTTGCACACCGTTTCCAGGAAACATGTTGTTTAATCCAGACAGGGTAGCAAACCGACGCAAAAATGTTTTGAGATAAACTTGCCCATGTTAACCGGAGACTAATCCAGCAATCAAAGATCTGCAGTAAATGAACCCCGGCTCTCCACTCCATTGTTCAACATCTGAATCTCGTCCAATGTTTTGCTCATGTTGCCTGACGTTTGGCCTGACTCTGGTTTGTCTTGGTTTTGTCCCCTGTGAGAGATCGTCAGATCGTCACCAGTTTTTTACCTCTGCCTGCCTGTTCGCAAGTCTGCAAACAGGAAACCTCTGCGGCACATTCTTGTGAAGCTGTAAATACATCTGTGAATTTCCTTTTACACCTTGTATGTGAACTGCTAATAGGACACACTTTATTAAACTCTCAAAAATATTAATTTTGCATAATCCAAATAATCATAACAGGTCTCCTTATTCACGTTTACTGACGCCTGCAAAATTAACTTTGATTCAGAGTTTGTTAAACTTTGTTAACTTTGCTCAGCTCCTGAGACAGACATGGTTTAATCTGTTGACACATGATGATAAAGCAAGTCAACACTGGGCTCCTGAGAAAACTCTCAGCTGCTTCTACTTTCGTAGAGAAGCGACTGTGGGAAATTCTCTCTTTGCACAACCTGCATTTAAAAAAAATGCTTGTGTCCTGAAGGAGCACATAGTTGTAAAATCTGACTTTAACTCCTCTTTTATTCCGACAGTAAAACTCAAAGGTGTCAGGCGTCATATATCATCGCAGGCAGCAGCTGCTGCTCTTCTCTCTTTGGCAGGTCATTGTCATGTATTTCTGGGGCATTTCTGGAAACGCTTGTGTTTTGTCTACTCACGTTTCTGTCTGGATTGCTGCAAGTTCCTTTGTCTTCTCCTAAGAGGGAGAGCACATAAAGAAAATATCACATACACACAACTCTGATGGCACATTTGATTACATTACATTCTCTGTCACACTCAGGTGACTATAGTGCTGAATACACACTCTATTAACACTTCTGGCACAAAAGGTGAATTATCTGATGTCAGTAACAAAGAGCAGGGTTTCATTCTTACCCACATAACAAGCTGGATCTGGCTGGCTATCCGGAGCAGCAGCTGTCTGAAGTGTGTCAACTGGAACGTGGAGGCTGAGTGCTGGATGCAGAGGCTCAGCAGGAAAGCAGGCGTCAGCTTTGGTTCATTTCCACTGGGGTCCAACATATCCAAAATCTCCTGCAGGACCCTCTCCTCCTGCTCCAGCTCATAGTTTACCAAAGCCTCTGTGCCTTCCAGGTCCCTCCAACGAGGCGGTAAAGGCTTCCTCTGGAACCTTTTCATGGCGATAGAGGATCCACATGATAAACAAGAGGGTGAGGGCTTTGTATCAGAGTTTGGGCAGAGTCTGGTCATCCAAGGAGGAGTCTGGAGGGATCCTGATGTGCTGGTAGGATCCTTAAACAAGAACAGGTAGTGTTTGCCCAAGCCCACCAAGTCCCCTGGGTTCAGTTCCACCTCCTCTTTAAGGATGAAACCATTTCTGGTCACAGAAGCACCATGGAGGGGCTTCAGCATTGTCAATGACTTTCTGTGCTCCCCTGTGGATGTTGGGATGTTAGAGTCCAGGCGTCTGACACAGCAGTGCTGGGGCAACACGTCAGGAGCGAAGAGAAGGATGTCGACCTTTAATCTGTCCTCATCGTCCCCGTTGCAGTGTTCCCTGCAGCAGCCAAAGATGGTGGTGGTCCCGCTCATCAGGTAGATCACAAAGTCCTGTAATTAAAGTGTTTTTTTTAAGTTTAGGGATAAACTCACAATTAGTATTAATTAATCTGCCACTGATTTTTCAGATTAATCCATAAATCATCTAGTCTAGAAAATGTTGAAATGTAATGGGTAAAAGACGCCCATCATAATATCTTTCTATGTTTTGTGTGTTCAACTAGTCCAAAACACATTTATTCAGTTTACTGTTACATAATACAATAGAAACACACACCAAACCCTCACTGAGAAGCTGGAAATACTGCAGGTCATTTTTGACGCTTGAAACAAAAGAAATTACATAAATTACAAAAAAAATTTATAATTTGGTATTTAAATGTTAGAAAACACTAAAAAGTGCCCATGGGACGTCTTCAAATGTCTTGTTTTGTTGAACCAGTCCATAAGACAAGATCATCAACCAATTCTCACAATGGAGAAGCTGGAACCATCAAATGTTTACAAGTGTTGCATGAAAAATTACTTAAACAATAGTTGCTGAGAAATTTGACTAATTGACAAATCTAGCTTAATCCCTCTTGATGCAAAACTTTGTTTCCAAATGAAAGTCAGTGTGTAGGATGGGATTGTGTAACATTTTGGAAGTGAACCAGCAGCATAATGTGCGTGTGAACAGCAGCGCGATCAGCTGATGTAAGAACAGCCTGCACTGGCAGCATGACGCGAGACAGGAATGGAAAGGCTTTACGAGTGAGACATCACTGATGTCCGTGACCCGAGGGTTACCACATTAAGACGGTTAGTCAGGCGATGATACACCATCGTCTGTGCTGGTAAGAGGCAAACGGAAGTGAAAAGGCTTGTGCGAGCAAGGAGGCCGACAAACCTAACTTAGTTACACCAGCAATAACTCCAGCAGCTTACTGTGAGAAGCTTGTGGAAGGATACCCTAAACATTTGGTGGAGCTATTTAACAGAGTTTCAGGAGCAGGACCCGACCTCAACCATGCCACTTCCAGAATTTCTATAAATGCCAAAATAACCCATCCCCTCTTCTTCCATCTCGTATTCTGCACCCCACACCATGTTTGCTTATTCCCTTCTTCCTCTCAGTAGGGTTATAAGGGAGTTTGTCATGTCCGGGTGCTACAGCGGATTTGCCTATCGTAGCTTCCCCACAACTCTTTAGAAATATAGCAATCCAGCAAGTGCAGGCCTCTCACATCTTTCTGTTTTGTACATCAATAAATTATTTAAATTTATCTGTTGATGGTGTGATTCTCAAGTTAAACTATTTAAAGGCAATGCTACCAAATACTAACTCGGTGCATGCAAACATCTGACCCGCTGGGAACGTGATGAAAGAAATAAAAGCTGACAAAAATCCTTCTCGCCCCTGTTATTCTGACATTTCATATTCTTTAAATAAAGTTGTGATCCTAACTGACTTAAGACAGGAATGTTTACTAGGATTAACTGAGTTTAAATTTATTTGGCTAAGTTGTTTTTCAACTGTATCACCAGTTGTTTATAGAATATTTAAAAAATGTCCAAATTACAAACACAAATAAATATATTGGACATTATGTGGCTGTACTGAATACATATAATTGTAATAACAGCATAAAAAAAAGTAATTAGCAGATGAACCAGTTGCAGCGATTTACTTCCACCACTCAAACTCTGAGGACACAGTTTCAATAACAAACTTTAATGGTCTAAATGGCCACACAATGGCTTTTAGTTCCTGTGATATGACCACTGATATGCCTCGTTTCTTTGCTTTGGCTCTCGGTTGACCTATTGTTGCAGAGTAAGATTAGGCTTGCTGCGGCGCTGCCAGCATCCTGCACAGTCAGCGATCTCCACCAGCATGGGAGCGAGAGCTTCATGTTCCTGGGAATGACTCTCTGGTTTACTGTGAAAAAATTAGCTGCGTAAACAAGTGATTCAAACTGCATCACACATCAACTGGGACGTGCGTTGGACGTGCTATATTTGACTTGAAAATACTGGCATGTAGATTACAGCACACCAAGTGTCCTCCTCCTACTGTGTTTATTTAAATACTCTAAGAATAGCTTCTGTGTAGTTTATCCTTGTCTACAGGGTACATTTTAATCAGTGTTATCTCCTTGTTTTAAATGTTCTGAGCAAGGTTTCTTCTAACACTCCTTCCTTGTCCTTTCATTGGTACATGATGACAGACTGCTCGTCCTGTGTGAACGTCAGCTTCAAGCAAGAAGTCAATTCTGTTTCCCTCTGAGCCTATAAAGGACAACACACCTCTGTAGTCCCCTTAATGAGTCGACCTGAGTCCATTCTGATAAATCCACAGTGAAGCAGTCGCTGACCTTTTATAACCAAAGCCCTACTCTCTCGGATTTTCTCCTTGAGGTTCTTAACGTAAGATGTTCAATCTTGTGTGCTTGTTTACAACATGTTGTTTCTTTTAAGCTTGTGTTTGCCCCACCTGCCCACACAATACCAGGAGACTCTCGAGGAGTCAAATCTTCAATGAGCTTATTACAGTCCTCCCTTACTCTAGAACAAACTTTCCACTAGACAACAATTTAATTGAATAATTCACTTAGAAGTTCTGTGTCTCATGCAATTACAATGTTATTAATATCATTACGGCTGTCATTAATTAAACATCTTCTTAGACAGGGACTGCTCCTTCAAGTCATTCATTAGTTGACTTACTTAAATTGCTCTTCGGCTAATAGATGAATTAAAGCAGAAGGATATATTAAACACTCAAATCTACTGCTGTTTGGAGACCAATTGATATTTGTAAATATTATAGTGGTGAAAGTGCAATCTTCATCGTTTTCCAGTAACAACTATTTACTGCGACCTTATTTTACAAGACCAAAAAGACAATTTAACTATAAATTTCCTAGTCAAACAAATCTTAAACATCCGATTGCACAACTCAAGAACACGTTAACCAGGAGTCACTCTCAATCTGCTGCTCTGTGGTGCAGATAAAATCAATAATTTCTGATTATGGCATCTTATGACCAAGTCAACATAAAAATAATTAATAACATAAAAGACCAAAATCGGCTTTCTAAAGTTTATGCACTCTTTTTGGAAAGGCTTCTTTTTGGTCTGAACGGAAAAATATGCATGTTTAAATTTAAGACCACTGGTGCATAACATGGCAGTATCTAGATGTCCAAACACTGCTGTAACATTGAAAACAGAAGGAAAAAACAAGAAAATAATAATCAGATGAATGATATATAATGAATATAATCATTACTTGCAGCGTTACTTGTCTGTTATAAGTGATAAAGCCGAGGTTTATCAATTAATTTGACAATTATACATCAACATTAATATAAAATAATTGGGCAGCACCTCCCTTCCTCTCTCACTCACCTGTCTGTGGCTATAGCCCTGCAGCAGGAGGAAGTACGGGAAGTCGAAGGGCGGGTGAATGGAGTACTGGGTGGTGTTGTCGTCGCTGCTCTCCGTCTCCTCCTTCTCCATGCCGAGCCGCAGGACCTCCTTGTCAGCCTCAGCCTCGGGATCCTCCCTGAGCGCGCTCTGCCGGGCTCGGCTGGCCTCCTTCTCCATCGCGGACAGATCCATCTCACTCAAACTTCTCCAGATGCCGAGTCCGTCCACATCCTCCCCGCTGCCATCCACAAACAGCGAGGTCACTCTGGAGCGGCTCTTCTGCAGCTTACGAGCCTGAGCATTGATGCCTGGATTGACAGGATGACAGTGTGTTTAGGAAATAACTGAGTAGTGTCTGTAACAAACCTGAACTGTACATGTGATTATTACAATATGAAAGACAAACTGTTGCATCATAATAAAGTGTACAACTGAAGCAAAAAAAACACACGAGAAAGACCTCTTAGAGTCAAATATGTAGACCAAATATACATTTCTGTGGATTCCCACTTTAATTACTTAATTTTGCTTTATTGTCAATAAATCACACCTTATCTTTCACACGTTAAGAGACACAAAATCTAAGAAAAAAGATGAACAAATGTAGCCTAGAAAGTAATCTATTAATTTATCATCATCCTCCACATTTAGATAAAAAATAACTGTGCTTAACATCAGATAAGTTCTCAAAGGAAAATCTTCCAAGTACAGAGGAAAAAAAAAATAGCTGGGGTGGTGATGGTTCAGACCCGGGTTCAAATCCACGGTGAGACACCCTGAGCAAGACACTTAACCCCTCATTGCTCCAGAGGCGTGCGACCTCTGACATATATAGCAATTGTAAGTTGCTTTAGATAAAAGCGCCAGCTAAATGAATAAATATAAAAAACACATATTGTCTCTGGAGTGAATTTCTCGAATGCTATAAATGATCGTGGAATAACTTAAATTTCAGATAACAAAACATATTTCTTTACAAAGTAATTCAGTAGTATCTTATATTTTCTGTTATCTATACAAAGATTCAGATAATATCTAACATTGATTCAGTGAAATAAGTGCTTCAGTAAGATACAGTTTATGAATACATTTATAATAAGCCTCTTTGATTTTGTTACTACTAAATAAAAATGAACTGATTTTCAGGACCATGTTTTGTCAAGTGAATCCTACGTAGCTAATAGCATTGCCAAACCCCCTCCCAGCACTGGCCCCAGATCAACTGAAACATAACCAGAGGAAAGAGAGGAAATGTGCGGGGGAAAGTGAGATGTGACCACCTCTATCTGATGCCAACAGCCGCTCTGTCGGCCTGACGTAACACAAACACTATTGAGCTTGTGTGGAGCCATTAAGCACCGTGGAATGTCCACAGCGTCCCAGCTTCACACCCGCAGCTCTGCCGCTCTTATCAGCTGTGGAAATGGGTGTTTTCCACATTGTTCAGCACCAGGGTGACAGACTGGGCTCAGTGCCCAAAAAGCTCCTACTGTAGCGGTACAGGGCAGCCCCCCACCCCCCGGTCGGTGATAGAGGAGGACCATGAGAACTAGGGTTTGACTGATATTGGCCAATGTTGATATCATGGTGGGAAACCCTTTGAAATATCATTAAGACCATAATTGGACACTAAAACTGAAACCCAGAGTGATAACATCATAAAAAGTACCAATTTGGGAAAATACGTTTACTCGCTTAGAAGAGTTAGATGAGAAGATGGACACCACTCTCATATCTGTACAGTAAAAAATAAACTACTGAAAGCAGCCAGTTAACTTAGCTTAGCAAAAAGCCTGAAAAAAGGGGGAAACAGCTAGCCTGGCTCTGTCCAACGGTAACCAAATCAAGCTACCAGCACCTCTAAAGATCACTAATTTACATGTTATATAACTCGTTTGTTTAATCCAAACAAAAATAAACAATTCAAGGAATACACTGTACATGTGCCAACTCGTCTAAGCAAATACCAATAAACATATTTCCCAAAATGTCAAAACTATTCCTTTAAAACTGTCACATCTAAACCACAACTAATTTAAGTGCTTTGGTTGAGCCATGCCACCTACTGTATTTAAAAACCATTGGGATACATTAGGTGTCTTTTTCTTCTACATTTCTTTAATTTCAAACATTTTAAATAATGTTTCTTAACTACAAAACACAATTAAAACCAATCAACTGAACATACTGAATGTTCAGCAGGTAAATCACAGATACAGATAGATTTCAGCCATCTGTTTAAGCATGTACAGTAGGTAAACCAACACTCTACTCCTAGTGTAAATGCAGAATGAACTCTAAAAAAAATACATTTAATTTAAGAAAGCAAAATATTCAACAACAAAATGTTGATATTGTTTTTATAAGGCTGCGATTAGCGGGAATCTCCACCACCTCAGTAGGAATAATAAGACTAATTAAAAAGGCAGTGTCAACGTAGCAGTACATTGGTCTAACGCAGGGTGAACCACAGCAAACTTGTGCCAAAGTCAACAGGCCTGCACAGTCCTCAGTGAGCAGGAAGTGACCTCTAACAGAAACAATAACACAGCAGTGAGTGGCCACATTCTGGCAGCTACAGGCTGAGTGGGAAGAGCTGCCCGGTGCCTCGATGTTTCAGAGGGCCCTAATGGGCCCTTACAGAAGATAAGAGTGGGGCCGCACTGACCTCCTCTATCCCTAACTGCAGCTTTTGTTTCCTCCTGACCTCACTCACTTGCCGCCATCTCCCCTGTTCTAGCTGGTGATAAGCTGGACAATGAAGGCTGTTAGCCTGCAATAAGAGACAAGGATAAAGGCTCCCCATGCCACCACAACAGAGACGGAGTGATTGATTAACCAGGCGTAAGGATGTTGGGGTCACTGAGCTGTAACTAAAAAAATAAGATGTGTGCCTTTTAAAGACAGTAGGCACAACCCTTGGTCTCTGAAGAAAACTAAACGTGTGAAAGCATAGGCCGACGTGTATACCTGCTGTGACTGTGTCTCTGTCCTTTAAACTTTGCTCTTCAACGCTCGCTCTCAGCTGGATTTCAAAACGCCTGGAGAAGCCTTCCTTTGGTTTCCAAAGTGACTGCAGCATGAGGGGCTTCTCGTTGTCCCCCACCACCCGGAAACACTCCCTCTTCCACTGGTTATCTGTGCCTGTCTGGCCAATCACATCACAGAGCACATAATCGTTGGGGTCTTCTTTTTCCAGGCAGTACCTGAGCAACAGAGTAGGAAATTAGGGCCACAGTGTTAGTAATGTTAAACCCGCTAGAACTGAGTCAACCCACAGTTTTTATGCCAGTATAACTATTGATACAACGACCTGGAGGCCATATTTTACTTTTGTTAGCCATGCTAGCAGCGTGACTCTAGGGACGGTGATCCCTTAACTTTTCATTCTAGCACCATCAAGTCAAAGTTTTAATTTGTTTAATACTTTCTGTAATTACATTAGCTGCAGCTGTTCTTTGTGTTTAGTGCTAATTAGCAAATATTAGCATGCTAATGTGCTAAACTAAGATGGTAAACATTAGCATGCTGACATTAGCATTTAGCTCAAAGTACAGCTTCACAGAGCCGCTAGCATGGCATTGGACTCTTAGTCTTGTTTTTTGATTGAGTCATTAATAAAGTGATGTCCAAACAACAATCTTTTATGTTCACTTCATATTAAACAGAGAATAGCAGCAAAGCCTCAGGTGGGAACATATTTTGGGCATTTTATTTTCATAAATGGCTTCAACGATTCCCGTTTTAACACTGCTTGTTTAAACACTACACCACTGGTCCTGTAAATATCTAATAAGGAGCATCATAAAAAAGTAAAATAGTCTCAAAAGTCTTGTTCTTAATACATTTGAGGTAAGAAATAGGACATGCAGTTACAGAAGCATGCATAATTTTCATGTAAAACTTTAGTTTTAAAAGTTGTTTACATGGTTCTGGAGATTTGAGAGGCATCAATCATACATACAACATATCTGGTGAGGTTCACGTGATCCTAAGTAGAGTTTTTCCACACTTAAATAGCTAAAACTGTGGCTGTAGGGCGTGGTCTGACAAACATGTTTGATCTAAAATCTATAATATGACACACATGCCAGTTTAAGGAAACCCCTCACCTCTCCAAGGCCTCCTTTACCAGTTCCTTCGCACTGGACTGTGTGGTGGCCAGTACACTCTTATAGTTGGTCCCCTGACAGATGTCGCTGCCGAAGATCTTAAGGATGCCTGGGATAGACATTTGACTGGACAGCTCTGCTGGGTCGTCTGCAGCCTGGAGGTTACCGCTGCCCAACGCCTGGCCGCGGCGTCCACCGTCCCGCAGGTTGGGGCTGTGGTTGAAAGCAGTTGAAAGCCTGTTATTGTGGCGGCGGATTTTGCTCTTGGCCGGCTGCCGGACACCCACGCTCTCTGTGCAGCGGACGGTGCTGTCAGAGTTGTTGGACCTGAGAGGGAACAGAGGAGAGGACAGTACGCTGTTTAATGGCAAGCGCTAAATATACTCGCTGTAATATACAGCCGTTCTGCATATGTACCAGTAAGTGGCTTTTTGTTTCTATCCAATCAAGTCTTCTAAAAATAGTCAATCACAGTGTCTGACTGTACACAGTGATTGATGAGTGAATAATAAGACCTCCAATCGGATCATCACAAGGTATCACGCATCTACAGACACAGATATTACACAGAAGTTACATTAAAGGTGGTCAAAAAACTAAATTTTCCATATGTGATGTTTTGCTTTTGGAGCTTCTGAAAACATCACTTAAATAATCTACATAACTTATAAGCATTTAATAAAAGGGTCTTTCAACACTATAATGTAGTAAGCAGATATAAGTGTATATTACTGTATTTATCAACAACTTTAACTCCTACTGTATTTCGCTCATAAGGGCATGCTGGTGTATAAACAGATACTAATTGGCATTATAGAGCAAAACACACTTTATACACCAGCATCCACTTATGGGTGACTTATAGGAGGAAAAAGACACAGTTGTAAAAATTTTAGTGATGTTGAAGTCATGGGAGAGGTTATAACTACTGACAAATATTGTAATTTAATAAATACTTATAATGTCTGCATATTGAGAAAATTTAGATTACAGTTAATGTTAATGTTTATATAGTGGATATAAATGCTAAATCGGAGGATTATATATACCATTTGCTGTGATGCAAAGTAACAAAGTACATTTCCTTTTCCACTCTGGTACTTTTACTGGAATTGTGTTTATACATCCATTTTACTAGATGTCAGGGGGAGGGAGATATACTACATTTATCTGGGAGATTCTGTTGTTAGCTACTTTACAGCTTAAATGTTTATAAACAAAAAGCTGTGATCAATTAATAAAAATCTGACACAGTGCTATAAAGTAAGCTATACAACAGTATATAATGGAGTTAAAATGTGCTCCACCCTCTACCAGATTTAACATTAAAATGCTGCTTAGGTGTTAAAGCATTTAGTAATAATATTCCAATACTATATAATATTAATATAACTCGCTGAAAAAGACCATTCTGTCCAACAGGTACTTTTACTTTTATACTTTAAGCACATTTTGCTGTTAGTACTTTTTTACTTTTCAAGTGAGTGAGATAATGAATGTAGAACATAGTATTTTTTTTTTTTTACATAAGAGCATAGCTACTTTAGTAAATGATGAGTACTTCTGCCACCACTGCAGTACAATTATAAGGTATATAAAGTCTTACTGGACAGATCCATTGCTGGGTTTCCTCCCCAGTTTGGCGAGGCGCTTCTTTGGAGAGCGGATCAGTAAACCCACAGGGAAGTTTAGGGCTTGTTTATTTACGTGGCTGCTTCTCTCCTCCGAAATCATTGTTGTTTTCAATTCACGTAAACAAAACAACACAACTAGAGCAGTTGAAATGATCAGAAAATAGCATTCTTCGCAGCTAGCTAACTGTTAAAAATTAAAAATGTGTCGGGACGAGAATAGTATCACTTCCAGCTCCAAAAAATAAAAATAACAAACCCTTAAAAATCACAAAAAGGTGTGTAAATACCCCAGCAGTATCTCTGCATCCATTAGACAACAGCTGTGAACGTTATTTAAAAATGTTAGCTTGATAATGAGATGAACTAACGTTATATTCCCAATCACACACACACACGTTAGCTTTCAAACTTCCAGCTCAGTTTTCTTCAAGATAAAATCCAAACCGACGTGAATGTCGAGCAGAAAAGAAAAGAAAATGAAGAAGTGGAGACATTTTCACACATCGTTTGTCCGTTTCTGGCTGGAAACAGTTGGGGGAAAGCGAGCGGAGGGACAGCCCGGTCCATGATAACAACCGTAGGATCCGCTAACTGCGTCTGGGAGTTTGGAGCGGACTGAAGCGAGGACCTGCTGCTGCGCGAGGCACGAGCCACTACAGGTGACGTCACTGCAGCGTCACACGCATGGTCCGCGAGGAGGCGGGACTCAAATCCTTTTCACACACACACACACACACACACACACACGAGCACCAACGGAGGACTGAAGTCTTTGCTTTGGTTTCCTCCAAAAAGATATAATACGTAACTTTACTGCATAAAAACGACTAGATATATTTTATGTATTATTTTATAAATATTTTTTTGAGTCAATTTGAACTTTTATTGCATATCTTAATATGGGAATCTCACGGTGCAAAACACAAGTCTTAACTTTGACAGGTTAGTGCAGCGGTGTTCATGAGAGAGAGCTAGAGAGAGAAAGAGGAGGTGCTGCATGCGTAATACAGCTCCTTAATTAAATAACTAATTAACTAATATCATAGTCATAGCAGCAGAGAGTGTTTTGTTTTTTTTTTACAAAACATATAGGCTTAAAGTTTCTTAACGCAACCTGCTGAAATAAAAAACAGTCTAGCAAGTAAATCCCGACTTTTGATATAGCCCTACTGTTTTTTCTGCACATGTAGCCTATTTATAAGAGCAGTATTCAGTATAACTTAAAGCCACTCTCTCCCTACAAGTCCAAGCATCAGTGACAGCAGCTGCCGGAGTTTCTTTCTGTAAGTTTCACATTGCTGTGCTGCTTCAGCAGATGCTTCAATAAATCAGATGTAGAATTGTTCGCTGTTGGAAGCTTGCTTCAGACTTTACAATAGATGACAAAGTTCTTTGCATCTTAGACTGTGACACAGCAATGGTAGTAACTATGTACAGCTGAAGAACACTTCTCTCCCTCCTCCATTTTCCTGTAGTTTTTGCTAAATCTGCACTGAGCTTGAGCTGATGACACTGCTCAGAAGCACCTATAGTGGTGAGGCTACCATCTCTATACAAATAGATGGTGTATGTTCGGCTGTTTTGTTTTGTTTATGTTTTGTCCCATGTCTCAGTATGTTTCCTTGTTTTGTGTTTTTTATTTTTAGCCATAGGCCTACAGCAAATCGGATTTCCCCTAGCTTTCTGAGTAGGCGACTGCAATTGCTTTTCTCTGGCTGCACCAAACTGGAACCATCTTTTGCCTGATCAGATCAATCATTGTTCTAAGAGTAAGCTCATTCACTACAGAATGTGTCCAACTTGATGCCAGTATTTTTATACCACACCCCTGCAGTTGCCTGCAGCTCATGTTTGACTCTCAAGTTAGCGGAAGTCGCACTCATCTTGATTGCACCTATTGAGCCATTGAGCCCTCAGTGCCTGCTACGTATGTAGCGTTGGCGTAATAAGAAGAATATAAGAAGCAAAAAGTAGGCTATGTAATTTAAGTACTTTGGAAGAAGCTAGCTCGGTATTCTCAGTATGGATATTATGGCAGAGGTTGTGAAGAGACTGAAGAAGACGTCTACAGAGGAAGCCGGGAAGAGAAAAACAGAGAGTGAGCAAGAAACTGGGTTGCAAGATAGCCAACAAAGCTATCAGCAACCAACGCAAGAGCCGTTACAGTAGCTAACATTACCAATGTCCGAGTGTGCTATCTAGTAAGTTTGCTAACATCAACTCCAGATTTATAGCTAGTGGCAGCTGGTGGAGAGTGCCACCAGAGTCAAGCCGGGCGAGCAGCCAACATAGCTCAGCTGCCTCTATGGACGTAACGTTAGCTAAATGCAGACGCAAAGAGACAAAAGAGGTTCGTTGAGGGAGGAAGTTGAAGAGAAAAAGAGAGCGACCAAACAAGAGGTTTCTGGACTTTGGCGAGAGTTCAATAAAATAATAAGTTGCAAGACAGACACCGAGCTGGCTTTCTTTCTGTTGGACTAGTAAGTAATGTTGTCTTGTGTTGTCACGCTTGCTTGATGTTTGGCTGTGTTAGCTAAGTTGCCGACTTCTTAGTTTATAAACTTCGGTAATGTAATCATAACAAATGCACATGTACAGCTGTCCTTATTTATGACAGCGGTGAATCACACTCTGAAACAGACACAGCATGCTACTTCATGACGCCATCAAACTATGTCTTCATTGATTTGATGATCACATACTGTGCGTTTAAGTGAAATATGAACATATATGAAGTTGAATAAATATGTCCATCAGTGTGAAGCTGTATTCATCAATATCTGACCACTTGGGGCCAAAAAAGTGTGCTGTGATGAGTTGAAATAGGCTAAAAAAAAAAGCTCCATAATGATAATTTTCTTCAGGTTTGTCACTGCAAACATATTGAATTAAAAATGTCAAATGTTTATAGTTAGGAAAACTGTGGAGGGTTAACACCTGAGGCTGCATATCACAATGTCATCTTGGCCTTCACTGGAGGATGAGTGAGAAGGCTTAGGTGAGGATTAGTTCAGCTCTTTTGTGTTAACAAAAAATTCATATAATAAATCCTGGTGATTACTGGAGGCACACTGGACGCTCGAAACAAAACATGGACAATGGAAATAATGATGGATGAATCCAGACATCAGTTTTCTTGTGGTTGTATCCTTGTTCTTCATTATCATAGAATAAGTTATTATTATTAATAAAATAGTAGAAGAGGTCAAGCAACAGCAGTGCTAGCTGTAGAAGTATTTTGGTAGAAGTATTAAAAGCATGAAGTAGTAGTATTATTAATTATGTATAATTAGCATGCAGCAGAAACAGCTCCAACTGGCTGCTTCCCATGTATTATAAATAAAACATATAGGGGATGGTGCTTTGTTAACTTTATTAACTCTGCTAAGGGGTTTTTGTTTGTTGGTCCTGGTTGTTAGTTAGCAGTTTGTCTAATTTTAATGAATTTTAGTGACAAGCAACAGATGTTACATATTAATGATATTTAAAAATGATTTCTAATTGTGAGTTAGGCATAGACTACTTCAGTTAGAAGAGAAAAAAAAGAAACGTTGCACACTTTTTAAAAGAAAGATCAAGATGCATTTCTCTATATTTATTATTATTGAATTAAAAAATAATCTACAGAACTGTGAAATCTTGGCAGAACTATGGAAAAGTGTGGTATAAATGTGTAGTTGTATTCATTTAGTTTATTTGTAGTTTGTTGTTCTTTAGTTGTTTTAATGTTTTATCTGCCTTTTGTCAAAATGAGATAAGTCTACTGAAATAGTTGCAGGCACAGTGGATATCCATCCATCCATCCATCCATCCATCGTCAACCGCTTATCGTGCGTACAGGGTCGCGGGGGGAACAGTGGATAACAGAATGAGATTTCACAAAGTGAAGAAGATAAAGAAAAAATAAATAAAATTATAAATCACAATCAAAGATAATATTGCTTGTAAATGGTAAGTTGATACCTTTTTATATACAGTCTATGGTTGATGCACAGTATTGTTCAATACAACCCTGTAATAGACAGTAAATCCTGAAGCTTCAAGTCCTCCAGCTGAGGCCAATCTGTGCATCAAAAGCTCCATCTAGTGTTAGAACTGTCACACAGCACCACAATGTCTCATTGCAGTAACAGGAACACTGTTTCCCTCCAGTGAATCATGCACACCAACATCTATGCAGCATCAAATGTGAATTACTGATCTCTTGTTTCATTTAAAAGATTTTTTTGCTGAAGAATTATAGTTTACGCTACCCAGAAGAAGGTAAAGGCAGTGTCTGGACCATGTTCATACTCACAGTGGTGGAAGAAGTACTCTTACTTTACTTAAGTAAAAGTAGCAGTACCACAGTGTAAATACACAGTGTTACAGGTAAAAGTTGTATATATTGTCACTTGTACATCTCTTAGTGTATTGATACTTTTTTGATGCTTGTATAATGTTCCTCAAATATAAGTCGCTTTGGATTAAAAGCATCTGCCAAATGTATATGTCAGTCCTACAGTCAAAATCTTACTTTATGTATATATATATATATATATATATATATATATATATATATATATATATATATATATATAAAATTACAAGTATTACCATTAAAATATACTAAAAGTACCAAAGGTAAAAGTACCTATTATGCAGAATGGCCATTTCATTTGAACACTTTTATACCACTTTTAAATACATAGTATACCCTTATACCTTATCACCATACTGCATGTATCTGACCTATTGTATATTCATACATATACTACTGCCTATACTATATATCTGATTTATAGTGTGTTCACATGTATAGTACTGAAGACAGTACCTTCAGCTGTTTATTCTGTCTATAATGTCAACTTTTAGCATTATACTTACACCTGCACTGCTCATACTGTATATATAATAGCTTATTAGTTTAATTTATACTGTTAATACTGTATATATTTTAGTATATTCATATCTTATTTACTGTAAAAATACTGTACTTTAAAGATTTGTAGTTTACTCTGCACTCCTGGTTAGATGCTAAACTATATTTTGTTGTCTCAGTACCTGTACTCAGTGCAATGACAATAAAGTTTAATCTAATCCAATCTAATCTTGATAAGCGTATAAATTGTTGGCCACAACTAACACCTGTACTACTTTTTTATAAATCTACTCTCTGTCTGTCTCTGACACACACCTACATACACACTCAGCCTCTGTAAGTTTTGTTTGTGGTATTGAGTAACAGGGTTAGAAGCGGATGTGAGTTAACTCCATCTGCAGCTGCTGTGCGCAGCGAGCGGTTTGGAGTCGACGAAGATTCAGGTCAGACACTCATCTTTACACTTTTCTGAAAATGGCCTGCTCTGACTCTGCTGACACCATGCTGACTGCACTTCTGCATCCATTCAGTCTGGATATCTACCTGCAGACGGAACAGTTTCTCTTTTCCCTGTCTGATCATGTTTATTAATGCTACAGACTTTTTAGGAATGAATGGAATCGTTCTTATTGAAGAAAAAAATAAATATATAATTGAGGACTGCATTTTGTATTTTTGATTACTTTAATGCAATTTTTGTCAGTGTGGTATCAAAATTAACAACAGCACAAAATTCTACGTCAGGACATACAAGGCATTTTGGTGTTTATTTGGGATGAAAATGACATCAGGCCAGACACATGGGACATACTTTAATACGGTTACACACAATTAACCTTAAGTAACTCCTGCTCAGACCAAACAACATAAACCTTAACACTTCTTTTGGCAAGGTTGTTTAACGTCTACAGTTTTAACAACATTTTATCATCAAACATTTTCTTTCTGACTTTCCTCACTTTGGGGAATTGGTATTCACATGTAGACAAGTTGATTATAGCGGAGTGACGCAAGATTGATTGACGTAAACAACATTTCCACGAAGCAACAAAGCAGTCAAAGTAATCAGATTTTCTGTCATGCACAGTAACACTCGAGATAAGGTTCATTGGGTAGTGGCAAAATGTCAACACTGCCATGTGTGATGATACCACTGCTGCAATTTAAGGGTGTAAAAGATATAAAAACAATAATAGCAATAAACAATGTGTCCCAGGTGGTAATACAGATAAATATACAGATATGTGCCTCCTATTGAGCTTTTATCATTTTAGTTTATACATTACTTGTGTGGTGCAATTAATTAAATATCCACATAGTGATCCTGGTGCTTTAGGGGTCCCTGATGGTCTAGGTCCCCTGGATGGTTGCCCACTTTGCTCAGTTGGTTGGCTCAGTTTATAGTGATTTATGAATAATCTTGTTGAATTGTGTTTTTACTATCCAGGCAGCATTTCAAATCGAATGTATGATAAAACAGACTTTTCAGTTACATACGTGGTTATCATAAAACTATAGTGTAACTTTCACAGAAATAGAGCACACGCGGATTTCAACATGCATCATTTACTATAAATAAGTGTGCACCTACTTCCCTTACATGATGTAACAGCATCCTCTATGTTCAGCAAAGATGTTTTCTCTCTACAAGCCTCATCAAACTCCTTGTCTGATTAATAAACAGGCCATTACACGTTTGTTCTTTTCAGCTTTAAATGGGTTTATTGTTTCTTCAATAGGCTACAAATCTCAAACAAGTTTAAAATCTCTACAAGGTGATTTTCAAGCAGCCCTGAAGCCTTTAAAGACTAATACAGAAATAAATAGGTTAATTAATAGAGTTAAGAGTAATTTGCACTTGTTAATGTACTTAGCTTATACACAAAAAAATAGAGAAAAGATCATTTAAAAAGGGAAACAAGGTCGCAGTAAAAAGCTGAATTAGACTGAAGCATGATAAATGTACTTTATGCAGTTTGACTGTTTTTAAACATCATAACATAAGAAGACAGTCAAGGTCAATACTTGATACTAAAACTCATAACTTTGAGGATTGACATTTGTAAGATTTTATTGTGTTGGGGTGGAAAATCTCCCACCTATTAATCAAAACTTGTACAGGACATTTATAACAGTATAAATCAGTAATAATATCCAAATATTACGATTAGTGAAGATGTTTCATAGGTCTGGTTAATGATTTTTGTGCATGTGTGTTTTCTTGTCCCCATGTGTAAATAAAACACTGTTGCAGAACAACAGTATTAGCCTATACTTGTGAGCCTGCACTGATAAAGCCTTGAAACGAGGAATGATAGTGGTGATAAAACGAGAAAAGGAAGGAGAAGCTATGTCAGATTAACCAAAGAGAAATAGAATGATACTGCCTGATTATAATGATAAACCAATGGGCTTTTATAGCAATGTTCACCCAATGTTTGGTACATTTTAATGTATGTATTGATAAATTAAATGCTTTGAGCACCACAAACTAAATCGCATTCACCTGTGTTGAGTTAAAAAAAGAAGCAGAAATCTCCTATGTCCCAGAACCATCTGTATGGCATTAGAGGAAAAGGAGAAAATAGTTTTTTGGGTCATCTGGGTGAACTAATCCTTCGCTTAATAACTGATAGCCTACTTAGCCAGCAAATGATGTATGTGTTGTTTAAAAATGTTAACATTATTTAAATAAAATGTCTAAAAATTAAAAAGGACACATATAACTGTATTATAATTTACCAGTCTACTAGACACAACAATAATTTCATGCTCATGTTTTTATTCTAAAGATCCTTTCCGGTCCTTTTTAAGACATATAGTACAAATACTCTGCTTGTAATAAGTTCACTAACTTTTTCCACCAAAACGTTTGATTATCTAGCTAAAAATGATTTACTCTACAATGGCCCTCGGCCCTCACTGAAAAATCCAGAACGTATTAATATGCACATGTTGTGAATTTCAAATATTGTGAATTTCAACTGCAACATTTCTCAAGAAAATTCTCCCAGCAGCAATTTGAAAGACCAACAATTTAGTGTTTTTTTTAACCCAAAACCAACATTTTTTGTTGGAATAGGACACCAGGAAGTTACTGGTCCAAGCCAAGATCTGACACATTAACACCACCCTGTGAAAAAGCAATTTGTTGATTTTGAACAAAAAATATACAGTGTGTTAATTTGTTGTGCTGGTAGGCATATTTTATTATTCTGGACGAGCCAGGGTAAGTTTTCAGCTTTACACAGATGTCATTATGCTAAGCTAAGCTAACCGGCTGCTCGCTGTAGCTTCATATTTAAACAGACAAACATGAGAGTGGTATCAGTCTCATGAAACTATCGGCAAGAAAGCAAATAAGCGGATTTTTGAAAACATAATCAGACTTGTGAGTTTGAAAAATTCTGCAACAAGTGGAGTTTTATTCTGAAAATAAGGACGGAAGTTGCGGCACTTTGAAGAGAGGCGGGTCTCGGCGAGCAGCTGCGGCAGAGCTTCAGAGCGACGACCGCAGAGAGCAGAGACCCGCGGAGCTCGTAAATCTTCTGTCTTTACTCGAGTTCAAGCAGTCAACAGAGCGGGAACACATTCTTCACACAAACCAGGATTTGTATTTGTTTTATGTAAACATTTTTTTGGGCCTAAATATGCTGCTGTGTTCACACTTCGGAAGGAGAAGAGGCCAGCCTTAGAATAAACTCACCACAAGTTGAAGACCTCTCCTCAGACGAGGAAACAAGGGTAAGATAAACCATGTTGATCAAATATCAGAAAACCTGGTAAGAATCAAACACCATACTTCCTTGTAAAAAAAAAAAAAAAATCATTTTAGTTACAGCTCAGTCCTCTTCCTCTTTCTCCTTCTGTATTTCTCTCTTTTTCGTTCATCTCCACCTTTCATGAATTTTTTTTTTTACCGCAATCTTTACAATATGCCTTTTTCTTTATTGAATGAAGCCCTTATTGAAATCTCTGCTGTATCTACAGTATAACATTCATCACCACATTAAACATAATATTTGACACTAACTAACCTATTATATGGGCACCTACAGGGGGCTGCGTTGCAATCACGCAGTTATACTGCAGGTTAGATCTTAATGTCTAATTTCTCTTTTCTTTATTGTTAGATTACTAACTTTAACTATTTTATCTATCTTGTTTGGAGACCAGTTGCATGTTTTTACTCCCCTCACATTGGGGAACTGGAATTAAAAGCTATTGTTGGTGTGAGACAGACAGTTAATGGAGGTCAAAACTGATAAAATATCATTCACAGTTTCATCAGTTCAGAAACATATGTTTAATATCTGTGTAAATCAGTTGGGATCCCTGCATTCCTGTCACCAGAGAGGTCAGACATTGAGTAGAGGTCAATGCCCTTTTTGATCTCTGATGCCAAAGTTGTGTGAGGACCTCAAGTCAAGACATCCTCCGCTGCAAACATGGTACACACCCTTCTCCACTCTGTGGTGAAAGAAAACACAAGAGTCAGCTCATTAACAATACTGAGGGATGAGTTGACTGACATCAGCCACAAAGTCATAGGGCTGCAGCTAATGATTATTTTCAGTAGCGATTATTAATCTGCCAATTGTTTTCTCATATAACCATTTTGTTATTAACATGTCAGAAAATAGTTGCCCATTAAGATTTCCAACAGCCAAAAGGTATGTATTTCAAAATTACGGTCGATTAATGAATTAATCACATAGATAGATAGATAGATAATAGAATGGACAGTGCAGATAATCAAATTAATCGTTAAGGAAAATTGATTTTTAGTTAGATTCAGCCCTACAAAAAGCAGTGTCTGGTTGAGGCTTCTTGTCACATATGTCTGATATCATATGTCAGATGTCTACGAGTTGTTATGTTAAGTTCCACCAAAGAGGCATTTCCTATCCAAACCTCTCACATGGTTTCATTTAAGTAACTGTTCAGATGATCCAATATTTCAATAAAAAAAGCAAAGATTAGAAAATATCCTCAAAACTGAAAAAAGATTTGTGTATCAGAACTTATTTTTTTCTTTATTTCTCCCATTAATGGTCTCTCAACCCTCAGATTTATATGGTTATATTTTAGAGGGGCCCGACCTCTGGGTTGGGAACCACTGGACTGAACTATCTAACTGTACATAAAGTAGTAAAAATGTGTTAATTAACTGTGTATAGAGTAGTTCAATTAGCTAACTGTACATAAAGTAGTTAAATTAGCTAACTGTACATAAAGTAGGTAAACTAGCTAACTGTACATAAAGTAGTTAAATTAGCTAACTGTACATAAAGTAGGTAAACTAGCTAACTGTACATAAAGTAGTTAAACTACCTAAACGTACATAAAGTTGTTAAATTAGCTAACTGTACATAAAGTTGGTAAACTAGTTAACTGTACATAAAGTATTTAAACTAGCTAAACGTACATAAAGTAGTTAAATTAGCTAACTGTACATAAAGTTGGTAAACTAGTTAACTGTACATAAAGTATTTAAACTAGCTAAACGTACATAAAGTAGTTAAACTAGCTAACTGTACATAAAGTAGTTAAACTAGCTAACTGTACATAAAGTAGTTAAATTAGCTAACTGTACATAAAGTAGTTAAACTAGCTAACTGTACATAAAGTAGTTAAACTACCTAAACGTACATAAAGTTGTTAAATTAGCTAACTGTACATAAAGTTGGTAAACTAGTTAACTGTACATAAAGTATTTAAACTAGCTAAACGTACATAAAGTAGTTAAATTAGCTAACTGTACATAAAGTAGTTAAACTAGCTAACTGTTCATAAAGCAGTTAAACTAGCTAACTGTACATAAAGTAGTTAAACCAGCTAATTGTAGATAAAGTAGGTAAACTAGCTAAACGTACATAAAGTTGTTAAATTAGCTAACTGTACATAAAGTAGTTAAATTAGCTAACTGTACATAAAGTAGTTAAACTAGCTAACTGTTCATAAAGCAGTTAAACTAGCTAACTGTACATAAAGTAGTTAAACCAGCTAATTGTAGATAAAGTAGGTAAACTAGCTAAACGTACATAAAGTTGTTAAATTAGCTAACTGTACATAAAGTAGTTAAACTAGCTAACTGTACATAAAGTAGTTAAACTAGCTAACTGTTCATAAAGCAGTTAAATTAGCTAACTGTACATAAAGTAGTTAAATTAGCTAACTGTACATAAAGTAGTTAAACTAGCTAACTGTTCATAAAGTAGTTAAACCAGCTAATTGTAGATAAAGTAGTTAAACTAGGTAACTGTATATAAAGTAATTAAAACTAGGTAACTGTACATAAAGTAGTTAAACTACCTAACTGTACATAAAGTAGGTAAACTAGGTGAGTGTATATGAAGTAATTATAACTACCTAACAGTACGTAAAGTAGTTAAAACTAGCTCTTGAGCAACAGTAACATGCTGCTCTCACATTGATGCATCATGATTAACAATCTAAAAATGTGATGTATAATAATTTATCAGTCGCAGGAGACATTTTACTGCAGAATGAGTACTTTGACCTCCAGCTGTTTGTTATGTTTGTTCTGGCTCAGTGTGATTCCTGAAATGTAAATGTTTTGAAGAGAGGTGTGCCAGTTCTGCAATGGTGACCGTGATGTACTTGGATGTTTATTGGGATGCTTTGCCTAATTTCGCCTGACTGTCTGCTGTTCCTGTTGTAACTTTAAAAATTACCTGTAGTAGTCGTGTACAGTGGTGGAAAGTAACTAAGTACATTTACTCAAGTACTTGTACATTTTACGCTGCTTTATACTTCTACTTCACCATGTGTCAGAGGGAAATATTGTACTTTTTACTATGACTCCATCGTCACAGACATTTTTACTCTACTACATTTTTTTGAAAACACATGATGATCTTGTAAAAGGAAGTATAGTATAACACGCACATGGACTTTTCTGAATTCTGAGTACTTTTACTTAAGTTAAATATCTGACTTCTTCTGCACTCCTGGTAAAAAAAACTTGTTTTATAGATGGAGAACAGTCTGATAGCTCCAGACAAACAGTTTTTGCTGCTTCCCTTCTCTGATAAAAAAAACAATTTGCATCTGCATGGGAGTCTGCACACAGACCGTTCAGTTTATAATGCAGGTGCAAACTGAGAAAGAAACCCCCCCGTAGTTAGTACAGTGAAACTTAATGCAACACTGCAAGCAACACTTCTCACAACTGAAACTATTAATTGCAGTTGGTTGTTATTATTATTGAAAAAATGCTCCCTGATGATATAGTCTATCAACAAAACATATCCTTGAAATCTATTAAATACACTCAAAAAGACACTGAACAACATCCTTACATCCCCAGTGTACAGAACACATTAATCACTATCAATTAAAAAAAAAGTTTTACTCGTTCCAGCTTCACAAATGTTAATATTTGCCTAGCCGTGTGATAGTAAATTGAAGATCTTTGAGTTTTTGGCAGTTGGTCAGGCAAAACAAAACATTTGAAGATTATTTCTAGACATTTTTTCATCTAAAAAAATACAAATAGACACTATAATTAGCACATTAATCAGTAATGAAAATAACTGTTAGTTGCTGCCCTTGTGTAAAGTACATTGTCAAGATGTAGCATCTCCTATTTCTCTGTAAATTAACATTTCAAATACATGTCAAGCATAATAAAGATGACTCTAAAAGTAGGCTACATGTGCAGGAGAACCACGTGCACGAGTTGTGAAATGCTGACCAGCTCACTTTCAGCACTTTTGTGGTTTGATCCTGCACTGACACATGCCAACAAGTGCAACTAGAATTGCAAATATGCCCATATGCTAACTTAAACAAAGTCAAAATAGTCTTTTTCTTCTTGACATGGCAGCCTTTAATGAGTGAACACTATTACAAGACACGGTATCAGATAAAAAAATGTTAAATAAATAAATAATTAAACAGTACATAGAGAAGTGAAAGACCTAGACCACAATTGAATGAAAAGAAAACAACATCCACAGCAAGAGTTGCTTGAAAACTAAACAGGTTGAAAGTCTAGTCCAAAGTCGAAGTCCAAAAAAGCTCATCTGAACTATATTTTAATCTGGTGAGCATGGACTCATAAGATCCAATTGGTACCATTGCATTCATTTAAAATCTGGAGCTTTAGCTATTATCTGGAGGCTGTAATGATACCCACCCTAATAACTTCACATTTTCATAAAATTGGTATTTGAATTTGTCTCCTAATAGACAGAAAGTGAAGGAATTAAAGGGATTGCTGGCATTTTGCACTTCCAATACATAACAAATACAAACCTAATTTTATGGGAGAACAACTTTTCAGTTGTTACTGTTACAAGATACACGGTGTGGAAGTTGATAAGACCTTGCAACATCAATCATGAAATGTAGACATAAGCAGGCGAGGTGTAAGTTAGATATTAGAGATGAGATAACAGAAATCCCCTGAAGTCATGCAGAAACAGCTTGGCGTACTAAAAGTGTACTTTATTTCCCCTTTATTTATTTCTGCATTTTAACACATAGTCAGCAGTTCAGTCTTTTTTTAAAATTTTCAGGGACCATCTAAACTTTAACCCTTCTTTTCACACCGAGATTAAGGTGAAACATGTCTTGAAGAAGTGACCAAATTATTTAACTCTGTTTACGTCGTTTAGTCAAATTTGCATTTGTAGTGTGAAGATGCATGTTTCAAGCATTTAATATTACTTTGTGCTAACTTTTTCAACCATTTATCCATTACATTTAGCTTACAGTTTCAACTGTTTATTTAGTACTTTTAGCTAACTGTTTAACTGTTTATCCTTCACTTTTAGCTGTTTCACCTGTTTATCTATCACTTTTAGCTAACTCTTTCAATTGTTTATCCATCCCTTTCAGATATCTCTTTCAACTGTTTATCCGTCACTTTTAGCTGTTTCAATCCTTTATCCATTACATTTAGCTTACAGTTTCAACTGTTTATTTAGTACTTTTAGCTGTCTAACTATTTATCCTTCACTTTTAGCTGTTTCACCTGTTTATCTATCACTTTTAGATATCTCTTACAATTGTTTATCCATCACTTTTAGCTGTTTCAATCCTTTATCCATTTCATTTAGCTAACAGTTTCACCTGTTTATCTGTCACTTTTAGCTAACTCTTTCAACTTTTTATCCATCACTTAGCTGTTTCAATCATTTATCCATTTAATTTAGTTAACTCTTACAATTGTTGATCCATCACTTTTAGCTAACTCTTTCAATTGTTTATCCATCCCTTTTAGATATCTCTTTCAACTGTTTATCGATCACTTTTAGCTGTTTCAATCCTTTATCCATTTCATTTAGCTAACAGTTTCACCTGTTTATCTATCACTTTTAGCTAACTCTTTCAACTGTTTATCCATCACTTAGCTGTTTCAATCCTTTATCCATTACATTTAGCTAACTCTTTCAACTGTTTATCCATCACTTTTAGCTGTTTCAATCCTTTATCCATTACATTTAGCTAACAGTTTCACCTGTTTATCTGTCACTTTTAGCTAACTCTTTCAACTGTTTATCCATCACTTAGCTGTTTCAATCCTTTATCCATTACATTTAGCTAACTCTTTCAACTGTTTATCCATCACTTTTAGCTGTTTCAATCCTTTATCCATTACATTTAGCTAACAGTTTCACCTGTTTATCTGTCACTTTTAGCTAACTCTTTCAACTGTTTATCCATCACTTTTAGCTGTTTCAATCCTTTATCCATTACATTTAGCTAACAGTTTCACCTGTTTATCTGTCACTTTTAGCTAACTCTTTCAACTGTTTATCCATCACTTAGCTGTTTCAATCCTTTATCCATTACATTTAGCTAACTCTTACAATTGTTGATCCATCACTTTTAGCTAACTCTTTCAATTGTTTATCCATCCCTTTTAGATATCTCTTTCAACTGTTTATCGATCACTTTTAGCTGTTTCAATCCTTTATCCATTTCATTTAGCTAACAGTTTCACCTGTTTATCTGTCACTTTTAGCTATCTCTTTCAACTGTTTATCCATCACTTTTAGCTGTTTCAATCCTTTATCCATTTCATTTAGCTAACTGTTTCACCTGTTTATCCATCACTTTTAGCTAACTCTTTCAACTGTTTGTTCATCACTTTTAGCTGTTAACTGTTTATCCATCACTTTTAGCTAACAGTTTCAATCATTTATCCGTCACATTTAGCTAACTGTTTCAACCATTTAGCCATTACTTTTAGCCGTTTCAGTCATTTATCCATTATATTTAGCTAACTGATTCATTCATTTAGCAATTACTTTTAGCCGTTTCAATCATTTATCCATCACTTGCAGCTGTTTCAACCATTTAGCCACTACTTTTAGTCATTTCAATCGTTTATCCATTACATTTAACTTACAGTTTCAACAGTTTATCAATTACTTTTAGCTGTTTCAACTGTTAATCCATTATGTATAGCTAACTGTTTAAACTATTTAGCCATTACTTTTAGCCGTTTCAATCGTTTATCCATTACATTTAGCTAACAGTTTCAACTGTTTATCCATTACGTTTAGCTGATAAATCGTTAATCCATTATGTATAGCTTACTGTTTCAACCATTTAGCCATTACTTTTAACTTTTTTACTTTGTATCCAGTACTTTTAGCTAACTGTTCTATCTATTACATGTTTTTTTCACATACCCTATCAGTCCTGTCAGATACATTTAAGTATCCCTTCATTAACACTACATCTCATGTTCCAAATGTGTTCATTTGAATTTAATTCATAGCTAACTAAGTAGTCTTTTCACATACCCCCTGGCGACTGCCAATTTTACCACTCAATGAATTTGAGGTATGTTTAAGGGATCTTCTACCCTCAAAAAGATAAACATGAGGACTAACATTCAGGAATTTAAGGTAATCTTAAGAGCTGTGTACATAGAAATATGACGAATCTCTTGATCAAGGGATGTTTGTTAGGCCCATGGGAAAAGGGAATTTAGTGGGTATTTTACAGCACTATATCTACTCCTATGGTACTTGAGTTCAAAGAAGAAATGTGTAAACTTGCAAAGCGCTCTACAGCTGCATGAGTAAACTGAAGATAGAGTCAGGTTTTTTGTCACGATATCTCACCACATCCTTCACTTTGTAACCACAAAGAGAGGGAAGGTTTTTATTCTTCACGTCTGTGGGAAAATAACCAAATGTAACACCCAAGATACAGTAACTGCTATCATGGGATTCAAATCCTGACTGTAGCCTAAATTCAACATTTGATCAAACTCTTTAATTGGAGAATTTAATTTTCACTAATGATGTGTTGACCTCTGCATTCATGTCCTGTTTGTGTATCTGGAGGCAAACAGTAAATGAGGAAGTGGCCTTTGTCACTCTACATGATTTAAAAATAGATTACAAATATTTTTTTTCCAATTCCTTTACTCTCTACATGTCATTTCATGTCCTTCATTTATGTCAAGAGCTCGCAGCCTGATAGCTGTGTCACACATGATCACAGAAGTAACAGGAACTATTAAACAATCAAACAATGCAGAATAACGTACGCTGTTGGTGTTTTTAGTGTTTATATGCAGTCAACATCTTGTTCCCTGTTATCATACCCCTAAAAACCAAACAGGAGTCTGAAAAATTAAGACTATTGTGTAAGAAATGTTCAAAATCAACTCTATATCGTGAAGTCTTACATGCAGATGCACCTTGTTAACTAAAATTAAAATAATTAAATGTGCTCTTTTACATGTATTTCATGATTTAAATGCATTTGACCTTTATCATTTTTATTAAACCTAATGTTACCCATACGTAATGAAGAGTTATATGAGAGTTTTATGAGAATTTTATGTCTCTATATTCTTGTTCTTGCCAAAGAATAGTTTGACATTTTGGGAAATACATTTATTCATTTCTTGGAGAGATGTTATGTTCTGAAATAGTCCATCGCACAACCCCCCATGAAACTGCAATGCGTCATTGCAGTTTCATTGATTATTCTGAGACTACAAGCTGCAAAAACACTTTTAATCAAAAGATTGGAAATATGATAAATTCAGTCAAACTACAAACTGTAACAAACTGTTCATACTACACTTTGAACAGTTTTAAAATCATCTTGTGACTTCTGAAAGACAGTCTTGTGACCCTGACAAAACCACAGCTGGTAAGTATTAGTCTAAAAACAGTGACATCTCACCAGCATGTTGACACTTCAGAGAGAGAAGTGTCTCTCTGCAGAGATCAGATTCTGGTGTAACGTGCACTTTGAAGCTCCATATATAGACACAACTGATTTTAACTGTGTAACTTTATGCTGAAAAGCTGATATTAGTCATTTTAAAATTAAGGTAATGCATTTTTCTTTCTCCCTGCACAGAAACACTCGGCATTGAATCTCTGATCCCCCCTTATTCTTCATTTGTTAAATCTTTCCGACACTTCAGCCAGTCGTGATGGAAGCCAGAGGAAAGTATGATTTTTCTGCAACAGCAGAAGACGAGCTCAGCTTCAGAAAGGGCGATATACTTAAGGTCAGTGTTTGTTGATTGGAAGATGAACTCAACGTGGCTTCAAAATGTTTTATTAACTTTGTATGACGTCTCGTGTCTTTATTTTTTCTGATCAGATTTTAAGCCCACAGGACGATTGGTATAAAGCTGAGATGCACGGACAGGAAGGATTTGTACCGCAAAACTACATCGAGATGCAGAATCCGAGGTGAGAGCTATCAAAGCAGCAGTGGACCTGGAAAGCAGTTTTTACTTTATTTAAGAGGGCATTCAGTTTAATCCTCACTCAACTTCTGCAAAACTAAAGGCACAAATCCTCCGGATTCTACCTGTGCAAACCATTTCAAGGTCCCAATATCACAGTGACAACAGTGGCTAATTTTGCAGCAGGACTGCACATAAAACACAGCAAGAAGATAAAAAAAAAGTTTGTGCCTCTGCCATTCTTTGGTTCATTGTAACTTGGACTAATTCTGACTTCCTGATAAACTCCAAAAAGTTCCCTTTCACAACGACAAGGAACAGGACTATAATCAAAAAGAACTAAAAGATTATTATGGGTCATTTTGGGGCTTGTGGACAAAAAAGCCGTACTTTTTAAGCAAAAATAATAACAGGTTATGTGACACTGACTGTTCAGTGTGTGTGTGTGGTTTACACCAGATGAACAGCAGCATTATATCGTGTGTGTTTGTGTCCAGATGGTTTCAGGAAAACGCCACTCGCAGCGCTGCAGAGGATCTCCTGAGGCACAAAGATGTGGGAGACTTTGTGATCCGAGGCTGCCAGAGCTCCCCTGGAGACTTCTCCATCTCTGTCAAGTGAGTGAGGACCTCAGAAAGTGCACTTTAACGGCCTCTGGTCCTGGCTCTGTCTTGAAGTCTTCTCTGGTGTTGACCTATTTCATGTCTCACTCTAAATTTGGCTAATTTGCTAAACCCCCTCCCCTAATATATTAAATCATAGCTTAGCTTCACAGCACTGTAGTACAAGAGATACTAAATATGTTTCTATGGCGCTTCATTTTTTAACCCTCTCGTAAATAAAAAATACAATAGAGAAATTGTAAAGAATAGATGAAACAGTGTGTTTATCTACTCTTGCGTAAAGTTAACATGTCCGGCTAACTGGCTTACCTACATAAAGTAGTAACACAGCTTTACCATAGGTGTGTATGTTTTGATGTTGTAGTGAGAATATTATATATTTATTGTTCAGCGTACAGTTGAGGTGGATGGTGGGTTAAATTACACAATGCTGTCTCATAAAGGCTGTTGTGGTGATCAGTTCAGTACCAATTTAAAGTGGATTTCTTTGATCAGGCTTCGCTGAAACCCTAACCCACCAGAAAGATGAATTAGTTCATGTTAATCTGTAACTAGCCAGTATGCTACTTGTTAGCAGTGTGGTTATCATATGTGTTCACAGCAAGACAGTAATGTTTCTGATCAGATACTGTGGGAGAAGATATAAAAAGCTGATGTCTAAACAGAAAAACAATCAGATTTATTAGGGATGTCAGAAACAATCTTGTGGTTGTTTATTGTCATTTATCCACACACCAAGTATACAAATGAACAAAATGCCGTTTCTCACGGTGCTGAAAATAAAATCACATTAAACAACTAACAAGACAAGATACCATGCAACACAGTAACTAAAAATAGACGAGACAAGAGAGCAGATCTGTATCTGTAAAGCAGAGTGAACATGGAGTTGCTTGTCCATAATAAAGTGCGTAGAATGACCCAAATCTGAATCAAGCATCAGAAGCAACAGAAGTGAAAAGTAACAGCAACAGAAGTGCACGCCGCTTTAGGTAGATGTCCTGGATCCAGGGGAGGTAGACCCCAATGATCCTCTCGGCTGTCTCATTATGCGCTGCGTGGTCTTCAGCTCTGACGCTCTGCAGGTTCCTACAGGCGATACAGCTGTTCAGGATGCTCTCCACAGTGCTACTGTAGAAGGTGGTGGGGATAGGCGGGGGGAGGCTGTCTATGCAGGAAGTGGAGGCGCTGTTGGGACTTCTTAACTGCGGAGGTGGTGTGGAGGAACCAGTTGAGGTCATCAGCATTGTGCACCCCAAGGAAATACTGAGCCATTGATGAGCAGAGGGGAGTGGTCGGCTGGTTTCCTCCTATCCATGACTTTGAGGTTGTTGCAGGGATTTTTTTTTTGTTCCATTACAATTTAACAACATACCCACATATTAAAGTTGTATTATTAATAATCTAGCTGTGTGAATGAAATCTGTTAAAAGGTCAGTGACACTTAGTGGCCTGACTTAATCGTCTGAAAACCAATATTTCACCTCTAGCCCATCAAAGGAGTAAACTCTGACTCATCAGTTGACCCTTGTAGTGCTTCGCTAATGTGCTGCAAACTCTGCAGGGCTTCACATAGTAGTTGTAGAGTAAACATGGCAGAAACAGAGTGCAGCAGCCCTCCAATGTGAGTTTCAGTTAGTTTATCTCTGCAGCCGTTAAGACCACTCATCCAAAAACCGCAACCTGAACAGTGGGTCAAGCTTTCTTTAACTCTGTTCTCTGCTCTTATTTGTTAAAGTGTTTAACATGTTATGTGCTGATAACCTCTTTATGGCCACCAGGATGGGAGTTACTCTTTCCTAATAACAAATCCGAGAAAACAGAGAATAAAATTCCTCCAGTGCAAATGATCTGGTCTTCTATTAGTTGTGACTTAATTGAAAAAAAAGGCATGGAGAATATCAGACAAATATTGTAATTATAATAATTAATAATAAAAATAATTTAAAAAAATGAAAGCGCTGATATTTTACGTTTTACATAATATATCCTGTAAAGCATGTTTAAACTGAGCATTAATTATTCTGAAAAGAGAAGATGTTCCTTTAGTGATTCCCCTTAGGGGAAATTTAAAAATCCCCAGCATCACAGGGATTGTAAAAAGACAGAACAAAATACAATAAGAGTAGAATTATTGAACATCAGAATCAAGTATGTAAAATATATACGCACTATATACACAATCCAAAATATTTTGTATTGATATCCAAAACTTTCTGTGTAGAAAAACAGGTTAAATGGTCGTGCTTTATGGGAGTGTTTAGTTTAGTTTAGGGATATTATTTTTTTTTTCTGTACTTGGAATGGGCGGGGAAAACCAGACGCTGTAAATTTAAGCCTTGATCAGAAGTTGCTGAATTAGAAAACTGAACAGCCTCAAATAAATATTTTTGTTCACAAAAGTAAGAGAACTATTTATAGAGCAAGTTTTAAAAAAAAGTTAATGTATTTATTGTTTATAAGGGGTGGTGTTGGCGCATAGATAAGATGCTTGCCTTTGGTGTGGGAGACCTGCGTTCGATTCCCACTGTCAGACATCCACCATTGTGTCCCTGAACAAGACACTTAACCCTAGTTGCTCCAGAGGCGTGTGACCTCTGACATGTATAGCAGTTTTAAGTCGCTTTGGATAAAAGCTTCAGCTAAATGTAATAAGAAATTGGATATTGACACATCTTACTCTGATGATACTCATTAAAAGTACATTATCTGTACATGATACTCGTTTCAGCCGAGTACTTGCTCAACCCTAGTAGTAATTTAATGTTAGCTTTTTAATCAACTGTTTATTATAATTTTTGGTAAATTCCATAATGATAAAATTAAATGGACCAATAGAAAACGTTACTTTACTTTATTTCTAAGTGACATGATCTATCTATCTATAACCCTCTAGTCAAGCTGAAAAAGGGGTGGTGATGGCACAGTGGGTAAGACACATGCCTTTGGTGTGAGAGACCTGGGTTCAATTCGCCACTGTGACACATCCATCAATGTGTCCCTGAGCAAGACACTTAACCCCTGGTTGCTCCAGAGGCGTGCGACCTCTGAGATATATAGCAATTGTAAGTCGCTTCGGAGAAAAGTGTCAGCTAAATGAATAAATGTAAAAATAAAAAGACTGAAACAATATTTGAAACATTAATTTATTTATACTCCTCCTAAATATTTAGTTTTTACTGAATGTAAAAAAGCTTCTTGCACGTTTCTCTTGTAGTTTTGTACACTGACCAGCAGAGGACAATCCAGCAGAGGAAACAGCTGAACCTCTGGACTTATGGAGCTCAGGGAGTCATCATGTCTTCAATTCCAGCTAATATAACACTTTAACACCGTCGTGTTTTATCTTCCCTCAGACACGAAAGTGACGTTCAGCACTTCAAAGTGATGAAAGACAACAAAGGCCAGTACTTCCTGTGGTCTGAGAAGTTCACCTCCCTAAACAAGCTGGTGGAGTTCTACAAGAACACGTCCATCTCTAAAACCAGGGAGATCTACCTCAGGGATGGCAGCCCAGACTGTAAGAGCTCCCCCATGACCCAGTCGGTAAGTGCATACCTTTGATTTTTCAAACTAGACTTCTTTAACGTCACCAAAAGGCCACAGTAACCTGCTAAGGTGGGTTACTTGTTAAAAATGTATCTGGTTTTCTCTGTGGTTCAGAAACAGACTGTGCATGTGCAACCACAGTCTTTGCATCAAGAAGTCTGCTTACAGATAGTAGTTAGGCTGTAATTAACTAATCTACCAGGTGTTCTTCGATTCATTGTTACCCAGCGTCCAAGGTAACGTCCAACCAACAGTCCAAAACCCGTAAAGAAAGAAATTATTCAGTTTATTATCATAGAAGACAAAGAAAACCAGAAAATATTCACAATGAAGAAGCTGGAAAGTGAGTTTATTGGCATTTGTGCTTGAAAAAAAGAGACTCAAACAATAATCAAAATTGTTGCAGATTATATTTCTGTGGAACGATTAACTTTCTAGATATGTTGCATTTGCATATAGTAGGGTTGAGCGTTAAGGGGGCAGGGCTTGTTGATATTGTCAGATATCCACTATGTGTTTTAAAAACAGGCATGAAAATGTTTTAATAACGGAAATAGCAAGAGCACAATATATTTTATATTTTAGAAAATACACTATCTGTATGTTGTGTAACACCTTAGTGCAGCAGCAGTGTGTAGAAATGAATGCCGAAGCCTTGTTTTACATCGGTTCGAAGAGGCAGAGTCGCCGACTATATGCGCTTCGGTGATCGTGTAAAGGACAAGCTCCTGAAAAGGAAATGAAACCAAAGAAGTTTCGAAGGAGAGACAGAGACAGAAAACAAGAACGAGTGAGCTGAGGAGGGACAGGAGAGATGTTTCTATGAGAAAATAAAAGCATCCAGTTAAAAAGTCTGAGCTTGATCCACGTCTGTTCAAGCTGAAAACTGTAAAGTCCCTGTGCAGTTTTAAGAACCATAATGATCAGAATGAACTGTAACATCTTTTACTCTCTGAAGACTGTTATTATGATGTTTCAGCAGACAAACGTTAAAAATAAAATCATCACTACAGTTTGTATTCCATATAGCTTGGTTGGTTTGATCCGTTCATTCATGTTCTTTACTTTAAAATAATTAAATCTTTCTTTACAGTTGTTTTAACTAATCAGTAGTTCTGTTAAAAACACTGTGATGACAACCTACTGACTCAGATATTCAATTAATGAATGTAAAATAGAGAAAATAAAGCAATTGAAGAAGCTGTAACCATTATATATAGTTATAGTAATATTTCTTATATAAAACTAAATGATTAAACGAAATTTTCATTAAGGCATGGTTGTCAATCTATTAATTAATTCACAAACTTCTCACTTAAGCTCCAGTTATTCATTATTGCAACGTTAATGTGTGTCTTGGTCAAATTTGTACACCAGTTTCTCAGTTTCAGTGTATTTTGTGAAAGTTAAATGAATGCTTGCATTTTTCGTCATATAGAAAGTTAAATGAGGAAGCCTGAAAGCTAACTGCCTGTTAATTAGACTGAAATGTCTTGGCTATTTTTACATGAACGTTTTTGATATATTTTTACTTACTTCTCTATAAAAACCAGCTGTGGTTCACAAGGCTTACACGTCTTTATGCACATCAGATGAAAAACAACAGAAATGAAAACTGCCTTGTTTATTTTTAATAATCTACTGTAGTTCCTCATGTACCTAGTTTGATTCAGAGTGCGCTGCTATCTATTTCCTGTGTGTTTCCGTCCTATAGGTGAAGAGGGGAAGTTTGCCTGAACAGCGTAATGCAGCTGCTGTCGCTGCTTTACCCCGCAGGCCTTCAGACCAGCCTCCCAACCAGCTGGTATGCACTTTCTAGCTCTGCTTAACAACTTTTGTAGAAAACCACAGATCCAATGTGACCATTTTGACATGTTTGTATGCCTTAGTTTCATGTTAGACAAACCTTGGTTTTTGTGACCATGAGCATATGCAATTGTTTGTAAGTAACCAACCTGTTAATATCCAGTTTGAGCTTGGCTGAGATTTAGTTGGAGACAACAGCTGCGATACTGTATGACTGTAGTCTCCCACCCAAGCTATTATAAGTAGTCACTGTCACCAGCATCATTTAGCAATCTGTTGATTATTTTCTCGATTATTCATAGTTTTCAGTCATGTGACATAGCGGCTCACACTGTGAGTCCCCCGTAGAGACGGCGCAAAAGCAGTCAAATTTAATTTTTTTATCACCTTTCAACTTAAGAAACAGAAAGATATGAAAACAAACTGCATGTTTTGGGCTTATCCGATCCATATAACGTTACAGCATCCGCTGCAGCATTTCTACCGTTGAAAAACAGCCAGGTCACTGCCACCACTCGACTGGGGTAATGTTTACGTTTACCTTGTGGGGAAAACCTCACCTTTACACAGCCCAGGCTTGTCTCCTCCTCGATTAGTGCATCCGAAAGCACAACAACCATCCAGCATTTCCAGCAACTCAAAGTAACAGTGTATCACTTGCTTATTGGTTGGCAGGTAGCCGAAAATAACGTCTTCTTTGCCCTCCAAGGGAGCGTTTTCCTTCGAATGTGACGTCACGTGAAAACTATGAATAGATTGGTTGGTTGTTTTTAATATGTCAGAAAATAGTGAAACGTGCATCAGTGTTTCCCAAAGTGCAAGAGGACGTCCTCAAATGTCTTGTTTTGTCCACAACCCAAAGAAACCAGAAAAACAAAATCACCTTGAAATCAAAATATTTTCTAACAGATAAATAGTTGGCCATTAATTTAATAGTCAACAACTGATTGATGAACTGTTGCAGCTCTATTTACCACACTGACAGTGATAGTCTTTTGTCTTATATGCCTGACATCATCCTAAGCCTTGGCTATTAATACGTTTGCTTTAAGTAGATCATTCATATTCGTTGTCAGAGATTTGTATCTTCATTTGTTTTCACAGCCTGCTACACAACAGCTTTTCAGCATCCAGTTTCTCTCGTTTCCGTTTGATGACACGATGGTCTATTATTCTGATGCACCGCTCCACTGGCACCTCTCGCCATGTTCATTTTGATTTATTTAACTATTTTTACACTGTCAACTAGCTATATATGAACTGATATTGTCAGAAGAATTTTACACAATTGAGCTGTCAAGTTTGCATTTGTTATACCACCTGGAGCAGCAGAAGTGTCGACCACTGATCCATCACTTTTAGCTATCTGAAAAGACTGCTCGCTTGCTAACTAGTTTTCACAGACTCTCAATCACAACACAAAGTGTCCAGGTGTTACAACTGACTCGATATGTGGATACATACTTTTTCAAATAAGTTAAAATACTCCTTCAAGCCACTGCAGAAGTAATCCCTGGGGAACAAGTGGCCCTGTTTGGGAATCTACCATTGTGACTGGTAATATTTGGCTATCCTTAATTGTTTTTCCTTCTCTTCCAGGCTAAGAGAGTGGGTCTGGAGGAGCGAGCTCACACCATCGGTCACACAGGGAGAAGCAGCCCCATCAGCTCTGCTTATCCTCCCCGTCGCACGTCTGAAACCATGCCTCTCCCTCAGGTCAGCCTACCGTCCTCCCTCCTGTGCTGAGAAAAAAAACATGCCTCACGTAGTAGTCCAGGCTACAAGTCATGTTTATTTTCACCAATTATTAATTTGTAAAAAGAAAAACAAAGCTGTGAAACAATTCCCAGATAGTTAATATATACTAATATCAAAGAGAGAAAAACATATCCTCTAATTTGATAATGAAACTGGATTTTTTTCTTGACGACTGACAAACAATTCAGTGATTATTAACCTTCATAACTGATTTACTTTCTGTCCCTTGACTCGTTTCATAATTTCTACAGTAAGCCAAATGTATTGTAAATCCTCCAGTTAGTACTTTATGTACTCAAATTCCAATGTATTCAATCAAACTAACATACCATTTTGGTTCCCTAAATTCTGTAATCTGTAATTCTGTATTTAATATTACTATATAATACTACTATATATCCTGTTACGTCCCACCCTTTGGTGGCAACATGGGACGAACAACATCCCAACACTGACCCAAACTCAACACAAATAAACACCTTTAAAACAACCAAATCAAGTGAATTTATTAACATAACTAGACAATTAAGAACACCAAAAACACAATACAAAAATGCCCCAGCTGGGAAGCAGCAAGGCTAGCAGTACCAAATCAAGAAGGGTCCCCTCCTGACACGGTAATTAGCTGGAGCACTCCCAGAACAGAACTGAAAGACAGAAAACATGGACACAGCACAGGGAAATACATACAGCCGTAACACCCCCACCCTTAAAACAAAATAACTTTGTTGTCACACAATCACATGTACAACATCAACATGGACCAAATATAGCTCACAAGTGTTCACTGTGACAAGTTATTCTTAGGAATGCACTGGACCGAACTGAGGTATGACTTACCAAGGCTGTATGTTTAGGTAAACCCAAGTAAATTTACAAAAATAAATCCACGAGACAACACCTCACAGGTGCACTAATCCAGGTTTGCACTCAAGTAGGCACATACAATGTTGCTGAGAGCACCCACATGGCAACTCTTCAAGCCTCAAAATGCAGCAAACTCTAGACAATTAAAATCAACCAAACTGGTATTACTGCAGCTTACTAAAGAAAAAAGTGAACGTGGGTCAAATGTGGAACATACCTAATCCCACATGCAAGGGATAACTAAGTTGGCACTGGATTTAAGAACCGCAACCACACTTGTAGCCAAATCAGCTGGTGCCACTTCCACAAATTGGCCACTATCGTGAGGTGAAAAGACCACAAAACCAGACACAAGTTACTGCATTTACCTATATCCCTGTAACACTGGTGACCCGCACAAAAGTGGAGCACAACAGCCACACACCAAAAGGGTCAATACAAGTAGACCAACTACAAGGTAGCTGCCATACACAAACAGCAACACACCACGACCCAACAAAAGTGAACTGTCGCAACACAATATGGGCACCATGTGGTCATCAACCACCTACACTGGTTACTCGAGGATTTAGGAAACCAGCAACACAACCAAACCTGACGAACTGGGAGTGTACCCCCACCACTTTAAATCCAAAGGTCTGTGGTGTTAGCACATCCCAAACGCACAAAAAAACTAAAATTAATGTTCTGTAACTAAATACACAACCGCAATAACCCACGTGTGACCACACCAGAAGGTGGACTGCAACAACCACAACACAAAATGGTCACATTGTAGTAAACTACACACAAATGTTGCCAACTTACACCCAAGAAGCAACCGACGAGTGACCTACCAAATGTGGAGTACAGTTACCACTAAACAATGGGTCACGATCCACAAGTTATTGCAAACAAGAGTATTTCACAGCTGGAAGAGAAGTGACCAAACAAAGTGGTCATCTCAAACAAATAGCTAAAGCTGTTGTGCATAGTGCTAGGGACAACAAGCTGCATAGAGACACCCCAACCTACCTACCTACCAAGATGGCTAAACTAATCTAGCTAGTCTTCAGTGGCTTGCCGAGCTCGAGGCAACTTTAAACGCTGAACTCAGTGCATCACCGAAGGCCACAGATGTAGCCATCTGCGATCCACTGAAGCGTGCCCCCACTCAGAATTGCCACCAAAAATAAGAAAGGCAAAAAAACAAAGTGGCAAGTTCTTTAAACCTGCCCGGTGGCTACCTAGTTAGAGTGCTCAACAGCAAAAACTCCCAAGCTACTGAGTTACCCCAGTCAAAAGCACAACATGTAGCCACAACTTACAGATATTCTAACAAAAGAGACAACCACTACACTCAAGGCCATCAGATGCACATCTTTATCTCACCTCATGGTTGTTCTATCCCGGACGAGCCCCCATTTGTTACTTCCCACCCTTTGGTGGCAACATGGGACGAACAACATCCCAACACTGACCCAAACTCAACACAAATAAACACCTTTAAAACAACCAAATCAAGTGAATTTATTAATATTTATTAATATAATAGAACAGAACTGAAAGACAGAAAACATGGACACAGCACAGGGAAATACATACAGCCGTAACAATCCTGCCAAAGCCCTTCACTTCAAACTCATGACTCAGTATGCAGAGGAACGAAATTGAAATGGAAACAACAATAACATGATAAACAACAGATACAATAAAAAACTGAAAACTAAGAGTGAAATTAATGCTTGCCGCACACTAGAGGATCATAGGGACGATTTTGTCTGAAGTTGCGTTTGATTGCGCAAGTTTCTGGGAGATCCCAAGTCACAGTCAGAAATTGTTTAGGATAAATTATTATATATATTATATAGTATTCATTAGAGGGAAAATCAAAAATGAGTAATTAGAGATATTTGTAGTTTGAGGGCAAACATTTCTGTTTAAATGTTTTTTATCATCATAAATAATGGTGAACAGAAACATTGAACTCATCTTTAACACTGGAGATTTTATAGTGCAGTTGCATTTATTAAGCTGTATTGATCATCATTGGTTTCCTTCTGCTGTCCTATAGAGGTCTTCCACGATGCAGGTGAAGGCGCTGTACAACTTCACCGCAGAGGAAGACGACGAACTCGGTTTCTCCGCCGGCGACATCATTGAAGTGTTGGATCGCTCTGACCCGTCGTGGTGGAAAGGGAGGCTTCGGGGGAGAAGCGGGCTGTTTCCTGCCAACTACACAATACAGCAGTGAGAAAACACCCCAGGGGATGCACTTAGTATACACATTCACAGACGCGCTCTGCAGGTGCACCAGCCCTCAATTTGTGTTTTTGAACATGAACACTGAGCAGTCACTGACTCATCTAATCTCTGCACCGCATGTCTATATCAAGATGCCGGTGCCCAAAGGACTGTGACTCAGTTAATGCATCAGATAATATTCACATGTATACTGCCACTCTGGTTTTATTGAAACAAATGTTGCTGCATTTATTTACAAAGGAGCAGAGACGCACCCACAGGAAGTTCCTAAAACCTGGTACATCTTTAACTGGCACCCAGGAACTGCTGCAGATAGCACCGAGGAATGTTTAACATTTTGTATTATGACATGTCTGACAGCAGGTATTTATTTGCAAAATGCTTGTTGGCCGGTCTGCTGATGAATCGACTGTAACCCCACTGTTTCTGCTCATGTTGCAAGTGTACTCATATTTTATACCATTAGAAGTATTGTTAGAAAAATTCAGCAGATTTCTCAAGAAGCCTGAATGCTTAAAATTTTGACTTGGAAATAAAATATTTTTTTTATCACTGCTTTGATGTTTAAATCTAATGCTAACGCTGAATGAAGACGGCCGTCTGGAGAAATTCATAGAAAGAAAAGGACTTAAGTGTTTTAACAAGAACTTAAGCTTTCACGGTTCCTTTAGATATCTGAAATTGATTTATTCAGGGTTTTCTGTAGTTATGAGTCTTGTCCAGCAGCATTAAAGGCAGCTAGAACCTGTCAAAATAAAACCAGAAGTAAGGAAGTTTAGCCTTCAAAATAAAAGCTGTGCTACAGACTTATCCCTAAGTTCACGTTTCCTGAGATTCAAGTTTATATTAGGAGTTGCTGTATTTCACTTAATCACATAACACAACAGAGTTATAACCAGTCAATGATCAATGGAGCCACATAACTTTCTATTTATCTGTAAAACCTCATAATTGACGTACAAAATGCCCAGGCTGATATATAGCCTTCTTATATATCACTTCAACATGTGGACAGGAGGAGGATTATTTTATTCTTTAATCGATTTTTGAAATTCTGATTCTGAATTCAATGCTTACTTTGTCTAACCAACAGCACAAAGCTCTGAATTATTACAAAGACAGTAAAATCTTCACATTTCTGCAAAACTGAAAACGTAAAGTCGTAAACGTTCAAAGTTGTTGCCAGTGTATTTCATTGTCAATCTAATAAACGTGTCAGCTGTACTTTTGTAAGATGTTGGGTAGTTTAATTTAAAACAAAACATATTTTATGTGTTATGTGTGTAAAAAACTTATTTTGTAAAGTAACTAAAGCTGTCAAATAAATGTACTGAAGTACAATATCTCCCTCTGAGAAGTAGTGAAATAGAAGTAGAAAGTGGCATGAAAATAAAAATACTCAAGTACTGTGCTTGAGTAAATGTAATTAATTACTGTCCACCACTGGATAAATGTAGTGAAGTTAAACTACAATATTTACCATTAATTACTTAATATAACTACTAAGTAGCATAAAATGGAAATGCACAAGTGTAGTACAGGTATTTCAAAATTGTACTTAAGTATAGTACCTGTGTAAATGAAATTAGCTACTTTGTTCATTAATATACAGGTTTTTTTCAGCATGTCAGCATAAGTAGTAGTGAAAACAGTCCCTCCAGGATTTCGGGGGGCCTATTAAGGGAATAACGGAAAACTGCAAAGGTAGATGTGATTTTTTTTTTTACTTTAGAATTACAGTTAAATCAGTGTATTTTGAGTGATTTCCATTTGTTTTGTGTTTAGCTGAGTATAATAATCTCTTCAAGGTAAGGGTGGTGATGACTGTGAAGGTCAGGACGCCTGAAATGTGTCTCCCTCCTGAGCCAGTAAACATGTCTAATGAGTTCCAGCAGGTGAGACACAAACAACAACAAATGTTCTTTTATTCTGAAAGTTTTTATAACAGGACGTTGTGTAATAACGTGGTTGGCTTTATGCTGGCATGTAGTTGGTCCCGCCTCCTGAGGGACTCACCTGAGCGCCTGGCGTACCTTTGCGCACAGGTATCGCTGTTTTGTAGAGCAGCGGATCTGGAGGTGGGGGGAACTTTTTACCTGCTATGGCGGAGTCTCAGCTGGTGTGCATGGACGATGAGCACGTCAACGAGAAGGTCCCGGAGTCCAGACCGGAGTTTTACTACAGCGAGGAGCAGCGGGCGGCCCTGGAGCAGCTCCTGAGGAACGGGGACGGTGCCTTCAAGATGCGGCTCAAAGAGGACAACATCAAGGACTTCCTCTCCGCCAGGGAGGTGAAAGTCATCAGGAAAACGTTTCACGAATACGACACGGACAGCGACTCTGAGTCCGGAGAGCACGAGAAGTCCAAAGAGTCCTCCAGCGCGGACTCCGGGGTCCACTCTACCTACTGGCCCCAGATGTCCGACACCGAGGTCCCGTCTCTAGACATCGGCTGGCCGGGCAGCAGCGGCCTCTACAAGGGGGTGACTCGGGTGTCCGTGTACACCCATCCACCCAAAGAGTCCGGGCCGCACATCAAGGAGGTGGTGAGGAGACTCATCCAGGAAGCACACAAGGTAACTCTTTGTTATCATGTAAGGAAGAAAGTTACACTACACACTACACAAAATGTTTAAAAAGTTTTAATTTCTTAAATCAAATCACATTTAAATAACACTATTATCAATTTATCTATTTTTTTGACTCTTATAATAAATAGCTAAATAATAAACACTGTGACTTGTAAGAACTTCTACTTTATACCTTTTATTTACATGAGAATCAGGAGGAAAACACAAGGCCAGTAAAACTCAGCCAAACCTTGGCAAAAACAAAACATTAAAGGTGCAAATAACAATTAATTAAATTAATCAAGTTATTTCTTATTGTCTTGATTGATAATTTAGGCCATAATATAGTAAAAAAAAACTAGTAAAAAATGTTGTAAACCCAAATATATTCAGTTTACAACAGCAGCAAATAGTCACATGAGAGGCTATAAATTAGGATTTTTTGTATTTTTGCCATGAAAAAGCATCAAAATAGTTGATGATTTCTGCTTTACCCACTTACAGCATACGTTACGTAAAGACTTTCTATGTCACACGCAGTGAAGTTCAGCCAGAAAGGTATCTGCAAAGAAGAAGGCAGGTAGACTAAATATATTAAATTTTACACAATCCCAAAGCCTGAGATTCTGTGTCAACTCTTCTACAAAGACGTCTGCAGGCTGCCCTAAAAAAGATAAAAGGAAAACATGATTACAGCACTGACATATGAAAATAACCGACCAAGCAACAAAAAAAAAATCAGTGGCTTCTTGACGTAGAAAGTCCTACTTTGCCCATAGCAGAGTAAACGTTATGAAATTCAAAATGATTGGCTTCAGGTGATCATGTGACAGAGTGTCCTGTCTTTATGAATACATGAGACAGCCTGTAATAAATGTTTATGTTAATAATCTGAGGCTTAATGCATTTATTTTAATCCAAAGACACACTATTATATTAAAATATTACTTTTTTATTTCTTAAAGATAGAGCCTACAGATGTGTGTTACTAACTAATGTAGGTCGTTGTTCAGAGTCTGTGGTTCTTGAGTTGTGTAGCAGGCAGCTGTCTGGCTCAGGTGTTTTGAAAATGGTTGTTTTTCCCCTCCGTTTTATAAGAAATGTGTCAAAATATCCCCACACGAGAACCCCCGAAACGATTTCAAGCGCTCAAACAAGCGTGTTCGCAGTTCTTATCACGCTGATGTTTGTTCAAGTGCTCATTTATCTGATAAGTTTGATTTTAAATTGTTAGTTGATGCTATAAAAAAAGCTGGTTTCACGTCATAATTGACAGCTGAGCCCGAGTTCTCCAACCCAAGAATCAACATAAAGAAAACAACAGATCTCCCATTTCAAGGATCATCAATGAGTGGACTGCCATTAATTCACCATAACTTGCTAATCTTGAGTAACCTTTACCTGGATAAACAAGTTCCACTTAAGTATAGTTACTTTCTTCAGTAAATGATGTGCCTAAATGTTCTCATAACACTATTAATAAGGATCAGTGAGTGCTGTTGATTCATCAGACCTTGCTAAGACTCAGCTTTATGGTGCTTCTGTCGAGGCCACAGAGTGCAAGCGAATTCAGACAGGTTTCAACAAGTTCGATAAAACCCACTGATCTGTGTTTTATAAGGAAGGGAGAATATAAGTGACAGTTAAGAGCTATTACCTTAAACTTCAATTATTATGATCTACTGCACAACAGAGCTGCTTTATGTTTCAGCTTGTGACCTGCTAATGTCAGTGTGAGGCTTAACATGAGGCCATTCAACTGCATCCGAAATCTTGATGCCAGTGACACTGCCATGAATCAGTTTGATACGTCTCTATCTTACCATATATTTCTTTTTTTAAACTATGGGTCCTTAACGTCACACAGGTACAAAAAAGGCTTTTAATTTCTAACAGACAGTTGTGGATTTTGGCTGAACTGAAATGACAACTAGCAGATTTGATCAGTTGTAGCTAGCTAGTGTCAGCTAAACGCTAGAAATCTGTAAATCTGTTTCCAACTTGTTTCAGCTAATTAAGCATTAGCTTCATTCTTTTTCTTGAAAATGCCATCTCATGGCTACATGAGGCTAAAGCTAACAGGTCCAAGGCAAAAAGTCAAGTCAAAAGACATAAACAAAGTTATTGTATTGCAGTGGAAAGGTTGTTAGTCCTAATATTATTATAAAGTATTATAAATAAAATTTGTTATAACCTTTGGATGGTTGGAAAGCTTCAAAAAACAGACTTGGACAAGCAACACAGTGGTTTGATTTATGCTTTGCTTTACACTTTTATACTAGAAAATAATTTTCTAGGCTACTCAAGGTAGGAAGCTAGCTAGCCGGTCATGCTAATGTGTGCAACTAATGTTAAAGCAGACAAACACACAGTTTAATCCATTCCTTAGATTTTTGGCTTTCAGAAAGGTGTTTAAAACAGACACCAAACTCAGAAACCTTTAGCTAACGGCTTATTACTCTGCTCAGTATTAAAGTAGTATAATCATAATCATATTAAGTTTAGCCATGATTAATCTTTGAGAAGAAATCATTTTCATTGCATTTGAATATTAATTTTCTGGAAACGATATTTGCTTTCACATTTTACACATTGTTCCAATTTTACTAAAAATAAATCTTAAAAATGTACAAATCACTCAAAACGTGTCTTTGCTCACATAAAGGCCCCATCTACACTACTCCAATTTAGTTTAAAAACGGAGTTTTAAAACGAAAACGATCTCTGTCCACACCAGCGTTTTAGCTGCGTGTCAGAGTTGATCTGCGTCTAAATTAAAAGACCGAAAACGCACATCTAGTGGCCATTCAGGTACACTGGGCATGCACGTGCCGGTGTAAACATGAAGCTATTCTGTAGTTACAGAAGATTTGGTTAAAGAATAAAGTAATACAGAGGAGGAATCACACAAGATTTTTTATCGCAGGGACCAATAACGAGCTGGGAGTGTTACTGAATGTAACACAGGAGTTTAAAGCGACTGTGG